ATCCCATACTTGCTGGAATCCCTCAAGGAAACATTTTAGAACCGATATACTACTTAATTTATGTGCACGACTTTCCTAAGTTCTCCAGTGACCACAATTTCCTGCTCGCATGCTATGCAGATGAATATCAATACTATCAATACTACCAGGGGAAAAATCTACGCTATCATGCGGAAACTTTATTTTCTACTTTCAGAAAACTCAGGACTCAGTATGACCAGGAAAAAGCGTATTTATACCACCATCATCCGTCCCATCTTTTGATATGCCTCGCCTGTCTGGGCAAATGCAAAACGTAATGAAATTAAAAAACTGCAAACCATATAAAATAAATTTTTACGACTAATTACTGAAGCACCTTACTTCATCAGGGACATAAATCTTCATAGAAATCTGAACATCGACTGCGTTAAGACCCACTTCAACAAATTTAACGAAAGTTTCTATCAAAAAGCCATCCATAACCACTTTTCTGATTTTTCTGACGTGCTAAACTATGTTCTAATCGATGATGACTACTTTGCTTCGATGACGACGTTTGCTACTTTGCTTTACAAAAGAACTAAAACTATCTCATTCCACGTCGGACTTTGAACGCTTTCTCCACGCAAGTTCCTTATCTGCTTCTTAATCACTTCCTATTTTCACAAACATCGAGCATCAACAGAGTACCGAACGGGTAGAGCATAGATCTACAGATTCGCAGATTGTCAGTTCGATATTCAGAAGGTAACGATTTTTGGAAGTACTGATATTTTCACCTTCTACCGTTTTCTCGAACTTAACTACATTAATACGACGTTTTGAAACAAAATATGCATTTTCCCTGCTCTTGGAATATTGTTATTAAATTTTAAATAGACCACTCAGCATCCCTCTCTCATCTAGGACACCGCCTATTAGAACTTAGCTATACTCATCCTAGCCGCTAATATGTAACTCTGAAATTCCGTCTCCAGCAGATTCTATACTTCCCCAAGCCATGTTTTTTGGGACATTTTCTTTCTTTTGAATGCTGATATCCTATCTTGGGATCTACTCATATAAACCTCATCACCGTGCTCATCGTGGAAACATCTCAAGTTGCAGGGAAGTACTGCTGCCGCAGTAGAAACCCTGCATAATCACGTTCGTATCAAAGTATCAAAAGTATTTTCTACCTTCTCGATTATTCTTCTCATCCGTTTGTTGTTCCAGACCATTCTTTTATCTCATGCAGAGTAAATGCGCGCTGTCGCGTGCTGTTACTCTCTTTCAATTGCACACAAGTTCACTCTCTACGTATGTCTCTGCGTGTATTTCTCTGCGTATTGCTGTGTAATAAATGTTTGTTTTTTGAACCCTGGCGTTTTAAGTGTTCAGCAAGATGAAAGACCTTTTCTATTTGCTTTATTGTGATACATATTCTGCAAATACTCATGTTCCTGTCGTCCATTTTTATAGTGTATAAAAATCGTTGATAATATCCATTAAATGCTCAAGTTAAAATGTCAGTTGTACTAGTGTGTGCATCAACCCCTGGAAAGTTTCAGCCACTTTATGAAATGTATTCTCAGATGTTAAGGTAAGAGAAGTAATCCTCATATATATATTCGTTTGGTACTATCGACTGCAATAAAAAAGGGCGGTGCACACCATTATAGCAGTACCATAAACGAACTTTCAATCTTCTACGGCTAATCATTTTTGAGTTATACGAGATAAATATATGCATACATAAATATAGATATCTTGAAAAAAATCCCTTTTGAATCCATTTTAAAGTTTTTTTTGGGAAACAAAAAGATCTTTATTTTGTGCGTACGTACAAAAGTCACCCAAAAGAACCTCCGGACAGATTCGAGAACAGTCAAAATGGATTTTTTTATATGGAAATATGATACCCAAAATCTTTCGCGATTACCGTGCTTCCGTTACTATGTACAAGGGAGTAAAAAAGCCTCAAATGCGTAAACTTGGAGAGTGATCTCTCAATATTCTAAGTACTCTGAGCTAAACATGGAACTCAAATCTGAAGTGAACTAAACTGATACGCTCTCTGATCTTACATAAATTTTCCTCCTTCTCCCGAGTAGTTTCCAGTGACGTCGATTTCTCAAACTTGCTGGAAGGCATACACAGTTGCAATTACATATCAGCGGATACAGTTACATAGAGATCGGTCCGGTTACAGTTACGTAGGTATAGGCCCAATATGACTCCAAGTCCAAACTTGGAGAGGTCCAAATGCTCTCCAAGTTTGGCGACTTTTGGCGATTTCGCACCAAACTTAGCAATAAAATTTAGTCGCCAGTTTAGCGAAATAGCCATTTACCTCAATATTAAATGGACTTACCTTTATAACCCAGTTTTTGGCAATGCTTCACATTTTTGAAGCCTTTCAAGTTACATTATACAAGACGCACTACAATTTACATATAAATTCACCTGAATTATTTATATGTATGCAAATTTCGTAACAAAATTTATTCAAGTTTTTTATATTCCGTATTCGTAATTTGTATTTGTCGCTTATGTAACTGGCAAGTAAACCTTCTCTCCTTTGATACCGGTTTCCCGGAAAAATATATATTTTCTAAAAGCTTATGTCACAAGTAGAAAAACTGTGAAATCTTACGGGCAGAGGGGCAAACGTTTAGGAGCTATAGGCCCCACAAACTATCAGAAAAGTGATGGAAACATGATACCAAAATTCGCTAAAATGCTCGTTTCACTTGTTTATATGAACTAATAATATGGTAAGAAGGTGGAGGCTCTCATGTAAAGGAAGAAATAACTCGTTGAAAAGAAACATTACACGTTGGGATGTTGAAAATGTGACTTGTTATTGACTTCAAACAAAATCTATTACAAGAGACAATCGATGTGTAATTCATCAAATAAACAGTGAGACAGGCAGAAAGACAGTTCGCAACGGGCACATTTTACCAAAGCGGATAGCCTTGCACACTCATTATTTGTCAATGAAGCGAAGCAGTAAATCTTCGGCGCAATCCACATTCCAGGTTCATCGTCCAAATATCTACCCTTATAAAAACCATACTTAATCAAGTTCTTAAAACTAGGAGCGCTGAATTGATATAGCGAAAAGGACTGCAGGGCCAGAAAACATCGCGATGCCAAATGTCCTCCTGTGTCTCGATAATGATGGCACCCGTTATGTAACGAACAAAAGATTTGTAGTGTCTGAAAACATGAATATCTAGAGGCTGGATCTTTCCCGTAAATCCTTCAAGTACCAGTTCGTTTTGTAGGACTTTACCATCAAGTTCTTCGGAAGCAGACAATGCATGAATATACAAGAAATAGAGACGCCATTACGGAAATATGTCCATCTATACACAATGATACTTTGTGGGTTCTATAGTTCCTAAACGCTTGTCCCTCTGCCCCTAAGACAACACACTTTTCTACTTGAGGTATAAGCTTTCCGAAAATATGTGGGTTTCTGGAAAACCAGGATCAAAGAAGAGAAGGTTTACTTGTGAGTAAAAGAGTGATCTGTAACTATCATATTAGCTGAAGAGCCGATGTATTAATTAAAATTTAGTCAGATTTGCGGGATCACTGCCAAATATTGCCATTGACGGAAAAATAGGTAAGCGTGATTTTTTAATCACTGTGACATTTACAATGTAGCAAATATGCCAGAACTGAGTCACTTGGAAAAACATATGCGGATGTTTGAATTAATATTTCATTTTAAAATGTCAATACTTAGCAGACTTTTAAAATAAAAGGAAATGTTTCTGGAATGTAGAAAAATGTTATAATGAAGATTTATGAATTTACTTTTCTCATAGAGTTTCAATTTTATAATTCCCAATACAAAATAGAAAATCTGCGCAAAATTAAAATGCATTTCGAAAGTAAGAAGTGTATATTTAGTTAACATAACGAAAAAGTACGAATCTTGGATATTTAGATTAAACGTAATCAAATTAAGGAAAAGAAATTTAAATGTAGTCGAATGGTAAATTGTTCTTTCACATTTTATTTTAGAATATCAGCCACTGCTTGAAGCTCTTTTCGTTACTTTATTTCCTTTGATCAAATTAAGGGACGATGAACCTGAAGTAGAGCGAAAAGGAAACTATTGAAAAGCAGTTATATTTCAATTACTCTTAGCCTTATAAGGATCTTAAGTTTTACAACGTTTATTTTATTTTAAAACTTTACTGTCCTCTCTTATTTTCCGCTCCCGGTCAGAACAAACGCGTTAGTTTTATTTATGCAAATTGTGCTTGCAAACTCTTAAGTATTTAAGTTGTTGCTTTTCGTCAAGACGAGTTAGAGAGCGAGAGTGAGACTTCTCGTTACTTTACTTCAGGCGCTCTTTCAGTCAGTTGTTGAACGCCTTTAAGGCTAGAAATTTGGTCTTCTTGTTATAGAAGACGTATTGTAGTTTTCCCGCATTCTGTGTACTACATACGTAAATCTAAAAAGCCAATCTTAGTGTTACTAGTCAGTGTGTATTTGAGTTTAGCTCTTTAAATTTAGTTAGTCTGTAGCTCTCATTTTTTTTACGTTTAGACCACAAGTGCTCGTCTTTGTATCCCGAAGTGTGGGAGCACCTGTAAATTGTGGAGAATAAAGGATAATTAAACCCTTCTTATCTTTGTCATACCTTCTACAGTAGCTTAGGACATAGTTTTCAGTAAACCCACTGTTCTTCTCAGGACACCTATATGTTTGCTAAACAGATAAGAATAAACAATAGTCTTGATTAGCTTGCTTGCAGATGAATACGTTTTGTTCAATCCTTTCCAAAAGCATTAACATTCGATATATAGCCTCGCTACTCTACATACAGATTAACGATGCAGAACCATTCCCAAGAAGTAATTTAGCTCATAGTTTATTAATATTATTAATTCCTTCATTGGAATTTCCACCTATAATCTTGCTTAGATTAAGCGCTAGCATATTTAGATTTTTAGTGATAATAATCTATTCAATAGCATATAATTCTAACTTTTTAAAAAAGATCCAAGACTTACCACGGAAGGATTTACTAGCATTTCCATAGTGTTGAATTTTTCACTTGCTGGTATATTCCTCTTCAGAATTTCTGCACGCCAAGACTTCATGAGAGACATTCTGTAATCTTGATTGAAAGGCCCCGCGTACGACAAAAATCCTGTGGCTACCAAAACATCACCAACCAACCTAAATAAATAAGATCTCTTACACACAATCAATATGTTTAAGATTATCACATTGCAAATCTCTGCGAATCTCGAGCAGACTATCGGATTTCAACAGTTTTCACCTTTGTTATGTTCTACCAACGGACATAACGCAAATGAATTTTTACCCTTTGAAAAATTAAATTTGCAGTTCATTTAATAAATGTAAATATCTATAGAAGTTTTAAGAATTTTATCCACAACTGCTTTATTATCTTTTACGAGGATGTAGTACATAAATTAAAAAAAAAATTACTATACATTTATCGCGAATGTAACAAAACTAAGAAACGCAAAAGCGATGATTTAAAAACATTTCCATCTGAAGGGATTTATGACTCAACAGAATGAATATATTTCAAATAAATTGTCATCGCAGTTACAGCAGCTACCCCGTCTACCACACAAACTATAAGAAGCGCAAGCTTGGACACTTTGCAGATACAGATTTATCGCACACAATACACATGCAAGACACCCCGGCAAAAGAGAAGGCATTAGTTATTTATACAGATGGCTCAAAGACGGAGAAAGGCACAGGCTGCGCCTACTGTGTACTCCAAGAAGGAGAAGTGGTTAAAACTTGGGAAAGACGACTGGCAGACAAAAATAGTCTTTCAGGCAGAGCTTCTTGCATTAAAAGCAGCCATCAATTTGGCAAAATATCAATTAGGAATAAAGGTCAACATATATAGCGACTCTGCCTCAATGGAGTCCATCCGAGGGCACAAGACAAGGAGTCCTTTGGTACAAGATATTCAGAAAATTCTTCTGAGTATACCACCAGATGACAGACCTATCTTGATCTGAGTTCCAGCTTATGTGGATATTACTGGCAACGAAGCGGCGGACGTGCTTGCGAAAAATTTATATTTATATTTCCAATGACTCCAGTACATTGGAAAACGCAGTAAGTGTTCCGCAGTCCTATTTAAAAAAACCACGCTCAATACTTTTACAAGAATGGCAGAAAGATGGAAAGGGAAAGCACAGGGGAGAACTACAAGTTCTTTTCCAAAAGTTACATGCTCAGTTAATACACACAGCGGAGCACAAGCTCAATTCTACACTGGCCATGGCCCTTCCCACATTATCTTAAGAGATTCGCCATACGAGCATCAGAATTGTGTGAATATGTGGTGGTTCGGTAGGTAATGCGATCACTTTCCCCTTCAACTGCCCAAACCGATAAACTGCATTTAAAAATCCAAACATGAATACTGCCGCAATGGGCGAGAATACCTGCGGCAACAAGCAGACGAAAACTAAAATAGAGGAAGTAATCAGGCTATGCTCAGCAAGGCGCTAAGAAATTCTACCCCTCCCCTGAGAATTGTAGCTTCGCAGCACAATTTTAATAGCTATTCAAAACATTACAACAACTGAAAATCAATACTAGAAAAATAGCTCACCCCGCAGCCTACCAGGACTGCAAGAGCAAAACTATTGTAATGTAAGCATATTACTATCCAATTTGTATGTGCTTGATAAAAATAATACTGTAAAGCAGTTTAAATGATACTGAAAATCCAGTCAATGTGTAAATGATTACAAGTTTAATTTGATTATCTCAGTGAAAGTATCGTAAATATGAATTCAGATAATGTTTAAATGTACACATAGCTGTCATGATTTTATGTAACTATCATATGTAACTTGTACAAGACAATGTTTGTAATCAACATATCTATGCTTATACATAGGCCTCGTATGCCCATGTAATATTTATATTTATATTTTTACACGGAGGATATATTCCCTTCTGCCAGGATGACTATTAACACTGCAAGACTTTTATAACAAACTATAACAGTTTTATAACAGTGGTTATCTCAGGCGGCGCTCAGCAGCTACACCTTCATTTAAATAAATTAAAGATGTCTTCAAAAGGTTAGAAGTATGTTGTTTGCTGTTTAATAACTTCCATTGCTTTCAGGAAACCAAGATGGAAAATATTTGCAGTATACGTCCAACATTATAGCAATAAAATGACCATATGATCACTTTTGAATAATATACAATACATTCTACATTTGAAAATGCCCTATATTTTATACGGATATATAGTAAATCATAAATGTATCACAGCTATATAACCTTAATAAGATGAGATACAACCTTAATAGGATGGGAACATTTCACGTGATTATAGTGAATATTTTCAATAATCTGGAAATTTCGAATATTATGCTAATATTTTAATACCTTGAAGAATATAACTTCTTATTGGACTGACAAAAGCAATGTTGTAGTTATCTGCTTTACTGAAGAAACTTTCTACAATAGGAGTACTGCGACATTACATTGGTCATTTAAAAAGTAATGGAATGTTGCGTGACATCCATTCTCATCTTCACTAATATTACATTCATGCCACTTTATTATGTTACATTAATGTCATTCTATCACATTATATCAAAACCGTTATGTGACATTACATCAATGTCACACTGTGACTTAACAACGTCACAGCGCGACTACGCATCAACGTCACAATCTCACAAAAATATCACTTCAAAAGTGACTTCACGTAGACGTCACAATGGGACTTCTCATTAACGTAACAATACGATGTCACATAAACGTCGCAATGTGACGTCACAAAAAGCAGATATTAAGACATACCTACAATGTAACTGTGGACTTGAGATCGTCACAGTGTGACATGCTTGCAATGTCAGAGCGAAGTCCTCGTTCTGCGGGGTGCTGTGGTAAAAAAGTCGAATCCTCTAATTTGCTAAAATCCCCTAATTTGCTCTGTGCGGTAATCATGACACATATTACGATCGTCAAGGGAGAGGGACGCTACCAAGGCCATCTTGATAATCTCCCATCAAGATGGCCTTGGACGCTACGACATTGATGTGCGTATTTTAAAGTTACAGATTTTAATGCAGGTTGTCTGAAGGAATTTGCAGATTCAGATTCACGGATTATGCACCAATGTTAATTACTTACATAGAGAATAAATGCTAGTGCGAATGGGCTTAAACATGTGCCTGAGAAACATGGCTTTAATCAATTAATATTAGTCTATCTAATAACAAAGTATCAGAAATGCTATCCAGTATACTTTCTCTCTCTTTCATTTACACGTTTATTAGCTATTTAAGCTCATGTAATTTATATTTCTGGTGTAGCTGAGGAAAAAGTAAAAGTGTAGGAAAGATTAAATATAAAGCAAAATACGCCTTATAATGCACATTTCTTAAAGCTGGTTATAGGCTTTATTTGGTTAAACAGAGATCATAGGCTTATGCTTTCAATTATAAAATGTCTCAGAATAAGGCGAAACGATTTTGAAAACTTTTTAATTTTTTGGGCGAGAAGGTTCTTTAAAAATGAATACTAAATTTTTCTGTTATACCTACACAAGAAAATCTCACTCAGTAAAATATTTATTATGCGTTAGTATGTTTAGCTTTGAGGTTAGATTGCGTTATTTGGGTTATGCATAGCATACGGGGACTAACTTACTAAGTGAAAGGATTTGCTTTTGCGATAGCCCTTTTCAAAGGATTTGCTTTTGCGGTATTCATATTACCGCATGAGAAAAACCACGAAAACTCCCACCGTTCGTCGTGATATGAAAGCTGGGATCGAACTACCAGTGTATAGCTGTTTTATCCTCTGCCACTGGTGAGTTTCGTTCCCTTTAAGAATATAAAGAAAACATTAAGATTTTAAAAAATGATATATTTCTAACTATATGTTCATTAATTTCATAAATTAGTTTCTCGGCAAATTTACATTTAACAAAATGCCGACTGTCTGCTGATTAAGCATAACCGGTGAAGCTTTATCTGTTTTCGAACTAGGTTCTCTGAGCCCCTAGGTTAGAGCAATAGATCAGGATTAGCTGCATGTACAGCAGCTTAACTGCAATCAAGTGTTCATAGTTTTCTTCATATCTAATACGAACAGAAGCCAATTTCACTTAGTCCTTCACTAAGGCTTTTCATCTTGTCAGACAGACACCCTTCGCATACTTCTCCGTATTCGAATAAAAAATACTAATAAACAAAATTCTGAAAATTTTTATTTGTGACAATATTTTCATTATATTGTCTGATCATCATTTAGTTTCATAAAGATGTAAATCATAAAAAATTGCAAAAATTTTGAAAAATATAAATAAATGAAAAATTGTTTTAATCGTAAAAATCTTCCATGTCGATACCGATATTCGAAATCCTAATTTGAGATTTCCGTAATGATTCGAAAAAATGGAAGTACACTTAAGTTATATAAAAAGGTAACACATCTATTTCGTAATGCAACTACTCAAAATATATGGAAATTTTAAACGACCTTTTGAGGTACGAAGATCAATAAGTATGAAAAATTTATCATTTTAACGAAAGAGAAATAAGAGCTTCCTTTTTCTGTCAAGCAGAATCTACTTTTCGCACATTTCCTTCACAATGGCGATAAGCAGAATTCGAGAACTTTTAAAGCAAAGGAGAATTTTTCTGACAGCTACAGTAACTCAACATGGAAAGAGAAAGCTATACAGCTGTGCGAATAAGAAATACAGAGGAATAAAAACAGGAAGAATTCTTGGGCAAAAACATATATTTCTTTCTTCAACTCCTCCCTCCCATCGCCACGAAAAAAGTTTCATTTCATTTTTGAAACGTTCACAACTTTCATTTTACGTTTTATTTTCACCTAAACAAAAAATTAAAACAATGTGTCTTCCTAGAATGTTTCTACCATAGTGGTCCTCAATCTTTACTGGATCATTCTTCTTGCCATCATGTGCAGAATGTCATATTTCTATTTTTTTCATTTATTTAAGAGAGGCATTTGGAACAAACGATAAAATTTTTCTTTAAATATCCTATGAATGTACATTTTAATTCTATAACACATTAAGCTCCATGCTATCGGCAAGAAACCCAAGAGTAGAATCATATTTATTTTACAAATACTTTATAACGGAAGAAAGAAATGGTTAAAACTATAAAAAATTTTAAGGCACATAGCTTACAGAAATTAGTACCCTGAGCAATAGTAACTGTTACTATAATCTCATACAATAATAACATATGCTATACGATTGGGTATGATGACGAACGATATGATATGGCGTGGCTATTGCACTCTCTCAGAATTCAGTTCTATGCGAGAGTATATTTGTCATGTTGTCCAGTGGATGCCGTTTACCAGTCTTTCTACAATATATTGAAAAGATGTTTCAAATTGGTGACACAGCGCACCGGCTAAATCAGTATTCTAGCAACCTGTATATTTCAGAAAATAAGGGAAGTTTAGGCAGCGTACAGTCTCACATTATTCTGTTGAATCACGTTCGACAGAACGATGGAGGTGAATGAAGGTGAAGAAAGTCAAGACGATGGAGATCAAGAAGATGTGTAACAGTTACTGGCATTTAAACAATATTAGCATAAGAGTCGCTGGTCAAAATACCAGCTACATTAGAGGTGAATGTGTACTTTACAGTATAGAGATTTACAATATAGAAAGTCCTCTTTACTGTAAATCCGGATGGTGAATCGATATAAAGATAAAAAAATGCAAGTTTCTGGCTTTCGTTCGAACACCATTGTAGACTCTGATTGTAGACTGGGCTGTAAAGCCATGGGAAGCTGAAGTATTGGTGGCTTTGCTTATAGTTTATGGCGTTTCAAGCATCGTTGCACAGTGCATATATTTGATTCTGAGTAGCGTATTCAAATTCTTGACCTAGGATACGTGAAATGTATGCAGGATTCTCTGCAGCTACATTCCGTTCCTGGATCAATATATAGAGACTCCCTACTCATCAATGTTCGAGATGACGGAGAAGATTCCGTAGTCTCAAGCATTAATAAGTGATAGGGTTATCTGCACTTCGCTCTGTGTGCTCCTTCTGGAGCCAGAGATTACAAGCGATTTCTTATAATAGTCATTAGATCTTTCTAGGCTCGAACAGAAATTGTGTAGCGCGATAATCCGCAAGAATGAAGCACTATAACTCATCCAAGATCAAATTCTGAGATGTGATATTAAGAATTCCTTCTTCTTACATTAGGCATAACACGGCTTCAGCGTTTCCGTCTGCCTTTTATACTGCTGCAAGGTGTCATTACTCTTGCCTGTAATATGAGCACTTTGCAAAATGCTAATCATCTACATGTTTTAGCATGCTTTAATGCAAATTTCAAATTTCAGGAGATTTCCTTCATAGTATAGCAATTTGGCCAAAACAATTGTTAATAAATATGTTTTGTTTATATGTTTATTAATATACTAACGGAAATTTGTCTTTCCTCTTACTTCTACGCAATGCTGAAAACGGGACACAGTGAAGGTGTATTTTAATGGCAGTGGATGCGCCGCTGTGATGGCTTCTGCCCACAGAGAGGAACCAAGCGAAATTGTATAGTATACCAGAGAGAAAATATACTATCTATCGAAACGTGGACAAATCAGTAATAATAATAATAATCTAATAATATACAAACGATCCCAAAGTTTACAGCAGCATAATTACTATGTGCGAATTCCATAATACAAACATTACGTTGCAATTGTGTGCGGATGCCTATTACCATTAGGCATCTGTGCTAGTGTTTTGTCAAATCATCTAACTTACTAAATCAGTATGATACTACGGAGGCACGTGGCAAAATAATGCAATATGGTACAAATGAAAATCCAAATATAACGTAACAAATTATATATACATGAAACATATAAGCAGATAAATCTGCCTTGAGTGCTGAGATGCGGTAGTGGTCAGTATCCGTTGTATAGTAACGTGATGAATCTGCTTTATATAACCCCAAGTACCTGCCGACAAAAGCTATCAGTAGGTTCATCTACCAAACAACTCTCCATGGACCTGTTTTTCATGACATAACAGTACAAATGTGAGCAAAGAGGTTAATAGTTGCTTCTGTGCAGCACAAGAATGTGCATCTGAACTTTTTCCCTTGTCATATGTCAACATACGAGTATTCATCATCCATCTTCAGCTGTAGAAAACTCTCATTTTGTCCGGCCTAAAGTTAAAATAAATTAAAAGTTATACGTTTGTCACTTAAGCCCTGCAGAATCTACGCGCACTTCTCATAGTTAAATTATTTAAATTATTACTGTATTAAAAATACAATTAAGGAAATTTTTTTATTGATTCTGCTCTACATAGTACTTAGATTTAACATTTTTAACTCTTTTAATCTCCTTAGTCGCCTACAGCGTTTTGTTTCAGATTCAGTAAACTAATCGGAGGTCGAACAATTCCTTACTGAGACGGTGAAATTTGTCCTTACAATAGTCTGCTTATAATCGAATTATGATGTTCATGATCTCATATGTCAAATGAGGAAGGTATGTTTGATAGCTTCGGTTATATTTTGCTAATATATAATTCTTGGCATTAAAAACATACTGAAATTCTGTCTTAATCCTATGTGCCCTTAATAGCAGAATGCTATGCGTATTTATTTGCCTTTGATTCTTCTCTTCTTTCCTGTAAAAAGTCAAAAAATCTTCTTCCGATTTCTTCGAGTTAAAAAACAGCTATTAAAGTAGATATTTCTAAAACACAAAAGGTATGTGTGTGTATGTGTATAGGAATATATAGGTATGTGTGTAAGATATAACAAAATACGACAGCTGCTTTAAAAATAATTGGCGATCTCAAAATTAACATTCTAGATTTGGTGCTCTCCCCCCCTAAAATTCATCTGTTCTCCCAAATTCTAGATCTTTTTATGTTATGTAACGCTACTGGGAAAGGGCAACTAAAACTAATATTAACCAATCATAGCTTGCCGCTACAATTACATAAAACTTAGTATAAATACTTTTGGCACAATAATTACGACATTATTCTGTGACATTCCTTTCCCTAGCTTCCGCCTTGCAAACATCTCTATTTTGCTATGCCTTTCTTTGTTCTTAATCTAAGATGATATAACATGCATATAAAAATGTTCTAATCGCTTATGATCTAGAAATATCCTATCTACTAAAAAATGATTTGATTATGTGCGAAAATAATGCTTGGTGATTTATAGAAATCCAGTTTTTGTTATCTTCATCGGTATGCCTTAACCATCAGCCATGACGGACATCAAAAGCTGTTAAGAGTTCCAGCGTTCGACTGCACATTCAAAATCATTACAAAATCATTACATATATATATGTGGAGGGTGATGTTTTATCGTAAACAAAAATCACACCCACTGGTTCCAAGTGCCAGGTTTATTTCATTCAGCTCAAAAACTATTGCATCTTTCGAATTTTTAGAATTCCGTCACGCGATTTTATCTTCTGTTGCCAAGAAATTCAAGATGAATTTAAACTGACAGCTAGTTTTTAATTCCTTTGCTCGAGACTCATATATATATATATATGTAAAATATAAAAAATACGATGGCTTTTCTCTACGCGAACAGGCAACCTCTAATTAACTTTCCGCAATTTCAGGATCTTCCCCCTAGACCAGTTCTTTCGAGAACTTTCTGGCATGTTATGTAATCACTACTATAAATGCAGAGTTCGCACCACGCTACTCTGTCTCTTCTTCTTCCCCTTGTTAGAATAGTTATGATTTCGAAAGCCTAAATTTAACCTTACTTTAATTTAAGCATTATTGGGTACGTAATTTTGGAGAATCTAAAAGAATAGTGATCTGCCATTTTAAGTGAATAAAGATATAGAGTTTTTAAAAGAAAATGAAATTCTTTGTGTCTTCAATTCGGCTGCCTTCCACTTCGGAACGACCACACCGGGACTCTGATATGACCAGATTGCTAAGCTTCATCATTTCCAATGTCCATTTGCTGCAAATATCACACACATATATACATAAGGAAGCATTTTCGTTACCGTTTGCAAAACTAGTTATTTGTTTTCCTAGCTCACCTCTTTATTTGTTCCTTTAACTGTTTACTTTCATCCGTCCATCTTTTATACTCTCCTGCTAACTCTGTAATCAACATAGACGCTCTAGACATTTTTCTTCGACACACAGCAGCCTCTTCCGCCAGTTTCTAGAACAAATTCAACACCATTATAAGAAGGCCTCCGAATAGAAAGAAATTCGAAAATTGGTTTTGAAAAGATTTTCTTATAACTATCTTGCATTTACCAACGATATTGAATCAACGTCACATGTTTAAAATAGAGCTAAGTAAAATGTTCTTATCTCGTAGGGAAGATTTTGGATTATGAACATTAAAAAGTGAGATGTTCAGATATAAAAATGTAGCGTTAGAATAAAATGCATTAATGCATTCTATGACAATATTTATGCATAAGACCTAGATCTTATTTAGGTTAAAATTGTCTTCAAATTTTAAAAAGGAACTTGGGTTTCTAAAAAAAACCCCTTCTTTCTTTTAAAAAGAAAGCGGGAATGCAAAAGAAATATTTTCTTCATACCTCTTTGTTCGCAATCGCATTCTCATATTGAGCTTTGACTTCTTTCAATTCATTTTCTTTGTCTTCCAAGTCCTGTTCCACGGCTTTCAATTCCTTCATAGCTACAGCTAATCTGGCCTCTTGAACAGCTAAATTATGCTAATTGCAAAAAATACAAATTAAAACAACTACTGCAGTTATAACGAATGATACAAAACCTAAGCTATTTTATTCTCTTCACCAATGGTGAGCAAATAAATATTTGATTGTACATTCAAAAAATCGTAAAACTAAATAAAGAAATAAAGAAAAATAAAATAAAGGAAAATCTGAAAGGATTCCTTGTTTTCGGACTCACTTCTGCTAACATAATTTTCTTGTCCTGTTAACTTCGTTATAAAACATCAGTTTCTTCACTCTTACGCCACATAAATTTCAACAGTAAAGTCACAAAATTTTAAAAGCAGTATATTTTTAGAATTCCCGGTGTAGTGCTAAATGCTGTCATATGTTTTTCCATTTTTGTCAGTTTTCTCCAAGATGACCTGCAAAATGTTTTATCTTTTTAAATACGTTACTAAGCGTCATTTGCATTGCACTTACGCCGCATAAAATATGTATGGAAAATCTCAAATTTTTTTAAAACGGCATATGTGCAGAATTCGTGATAGAGTATTAAGCGTTTCCATTAGTTCTTTGAGTCTTTTCTTAGTTCATCATATCAATATCCAGTATTCTTAGTAAGATGACTTACACAATTCGTTTGGTCCCTTTAATTTTAATTTTATTTATTAAACATGACTTTCTTCGCATGTCACATTCAAACAAATTCAACAACAAAATCACGAAATGCTTAAAAACAACATATCTTTAGAATTCCCAATAGAGTGTTAAGTGTTGTGACATATTCGTTTTATAGTAGCTATATTATTTCTTTAAAAATAATACATTGCTATACCATTTGGTTGCAACAATTTGAAGATTCACTACGAAAGAAAAGGCTAATAGCACCCCTGATGCTAAAAATCTACTTTAAAAGGGGGGGGGGAATCAGCAAATAGTAAACTAATGAATTAGCTAAAAGTAGACTCTATAAAGAATATTTGACTGTTGTAATTATATTTAAATTTCAGAAACTCCTTCATAAAAATTATCAAAGTATCTTAAATAGGGATCCATTAGTTCTAGATTTATTAATTCTATAAGAGTTGAAGCTGTTTTGAGTGACGGATATTTTTCAGTTGATCGATTACATTTTAGCTATATATTTCAATATATGTTTTAGACCTTTAGAGGATATATGTTTTAGATACGTTTCGCTCAGTTCGTTTCTTGTATAAAGAAATTCATCAGCACTACTCATTCGAAGATAAATTAAAAGAAATATCATTATTTTTCTTCTTCTGAAGTCCTACTTCCAGCCTATTAGTTCTCCCCCCCCCCGAAAAAAAGCCAGCCGTAATTTTAAAGGATTAATAAGGTATAAATGAAATGATTTTTTTTATTAAAATTAGTTCTGTCTGCTTGCAAAATTGTTTTGGGGGGAAAATATTATAAATTAACAATCCTTTTTGCAATCAGAATAATTTATGGCGTCGAACCACACTATAGGAATCACCTGATTATAAAAAAGAAAGAATTTTTCATCCTTTCTAGTTTTTCTATTTACACTTAACATAATTTTTATACTGCTAAAAGGTATTTTCTATTTCCTTTCTGTGTCCCTTCGTTGGTGTAACGAGAAACGCTCCCGAAGCTTTCGGTAGGTCCAGAGTTCAAACCCCAGCGACCGTCAATGCGAATTTCTTCCGTTAGTTTCTTGACATCGAGAAGTTCTAAAAATGTCTCTAACAGCTATAACGAATTTCCAAACATATGGAAATCAGAAGGAAGAAATTTTACAGATATCTTCGGTTTTTTTTTTTTTTTTTTTTTTTTTTTGTACTCTTTATGTTTTTTCCCGGAATATCTGCAAGTTTTAACTGGAAAATTACTAACCTTTAGATTTACACATATCTAAGATTTTTAGGGTAGCAAAAAACATTTTACGTCACTATTACCCCCTTATAGCTTTCTCCATCTTAAAAAAAATATCCGTTTGAGATAGGCAAGTCCCGATTTGAAATATACAGTCACACAACCAACATATCTTAGCAGATCATATTTTTCAGAAAAGTTATTATTTAAAATTATAATGTGTGTTTTATAATGAAATACGTGTTTTAAGAAAAGGATCCAAATCATGAATTTTATATTACGTAATTTTCCATGTAAAAATTAGTAACGTATGGAGAAGCTTAAAAAGGACAAAACGCACATTAAGTAGTTGCACGTAAAAACAACTGAAACTGGCTTTTATAGTTATGTAAAAAAAATTGGAATTATTTTACCCTTCATTTGATTAAATGTGAAAACACTAATAAGGTTTTTGTAATTTTTCAGTCTTTTGCTCATAATTTATGACATTTTGTACACAACTACACATTTCAGAATGAACTGGCATTCATGGACCGTTTTAGTTACAAGTTGTTCTTTAACATGTCATATACTACCATTATCTAATAAAACTAGGCGTCAAGTAATAATAAATATTCTGATTTTAATCTGTGTTAGTTAAGTAGTCAAAACTTATGATAAATCTTCAATGAAAAACGTGATAAAAATTTATTAATTTTTATAATCATTATCTCTAATCACCTTCACACTCTGTACCAGATTTTCGGGAATGCATGTTATTTTCATAATGTTTCATTTTAAAACAGAAAATTCATCATCCTAAATACATTCCCAAATGTTAGTTTATAGTATTTCACTTAACAAAAGGCATTCAGTAGCCATGTAGTACGAATACAATTACAATTTTACTTATAATTAATAGGATTCTGGATTTTAAAAATAGGGGCACTTTCGCTTAACACTTAAAATAATACATCTCAGCTATCAAGGAATTATGCGCCCTTAACATTTAAAGAAGATATTTAGCCATATCAAACAAAAGTATGTCAACAAAATGATGTTATATACAGAGAGCATATGCATTTCTAAAAGAGTTATATCCTCTTAATATTGCGACAAATCAAATGCAAATACCTTCAGAGGTAAAACTTCTTTGTTGATTCCAAAGAAGAAGGCCATGGATTTTGTCCAAGATAATAAACCAGCTACATCACCGCATACTCTTTTTGCTGTTTCCATGTTGTAGTCCTTCATGCTTAGATACGGTTCTAATAATTCCACTACTTCATCATTAATAGTATCTTTAGGAAAGTTTTGCAGCGCTGGCAAAAATCCGGTTGTTGACATAAACTGGAAGAAAAGAAAAGAAAGTTGAAAAGCAAAATATAACAATAGATAATTTCAGTGGTTTTTCATGTATTTTACCTACAACACTATAATTGCTTGTATTATTCTTATCTCACAAGTAGCAAATATACATTATAAATGGTCAGTCGCGACCCTTCACCAAGCTTCGAAACTGAATGCCGGATAAAATGAAAACACTTAAAAATCTAGATGTTCCGTTTTGGGATTCTATTTTTTGTTTCATAAACTACAACTTACAAATTAATAAGTCGAATAAATTTGAAGGTTTTAAAGTCAGAAACTACATACTGAAAAACAGTCATACTGAAAAAAATTTTTAATTAAGAGAGATAAAAATTCGCGCCATCTGCATCTGTCCTTTGCCACCGGCAACAGGCTTACAAAGCTTTAGACCTAAAGCATTTAAAGGATTACATATATTTCGATTCCATTAAGGGTACTGATTATAAGCAATTATGTTATTATATTATGGGACACTTTCGAGTAAGCTTGTAGAGTTGCGCGCCTCCAACCTGCACGCAACCAAGAGGTGACTGTTGAAACTGGAAAATAGACAGAGTCTTGCTAAGGGTTTAAGTCCCCTTTATTCAACTTAAGAAATTACAATTGCGTGCTTTTGACGCTCACAAACTACGCCGACCCGGCTGTAAAATAAAAATAAGAACCTGAAAATAAATAATAACAAGACTCTAACTACGAGGCTCTCTAAACGTAACTAACCTCACCGCGTTTTACAATACCGCTGCTAATTCAGCTAAACTTTGAATATCACGTTGAACAATTAACAATTCTCCGAGGCAAGCACACAGGCCGAAACGCGGGGTTCTTCAATTTCTGGCTAGCTACCTCCGCGCTCGTGAAGTAAGAACAGCACATCTCGAACTCGTTTCCTTTCTATTTAACTCAGAATACTTCGGCTGATAATTTGAATCCTTGCGCGTTCTACTAAAATTTACATACTCTGGCATTGGCAGTTCCAGGGGAAAGTAAGGCTTGACAGGAAAGATAGTTTAAACTTAAAATAAATGTTAGTTAAAATAAATATAAACCCTACAAGCTCTTAAGACCTTTAAAGCTGACGCGGCACTTGATGTTAAAGATCATAACTTCAGGTATAAACTAAAACTTTTCCTCGAAAGTTAACGTTAGCTCTTCATGTCGTTTAATTCGGGTTTGCTTACCTAACTTTCAGAGGTCGTTTTTACTCCGGAGTCCATAATCCACCGCTTTCTTTCTGTTAAGATTTCGTGCGATTTATAGTTGTTAGAAAAATGACAGTCAAATCAGCAGCAAAAGTAACAGTTTCATTATCGAATTTATTGGGAAATGGTTCTGTAATTTGACGAAAACATTCATAACGATAATATAGAGGAAATGCATTGTGATTTCCTATTCTTATGAGGTTGGAAATTATATATAGAAGAAGAAGCAGTTGACATAACGATTGCTTTCTTCTCCTCAGGGTCAATGAGAGAATATGATATATCTTTTATCAAACAATATAGCTCAGAAAACAAGGAGAGGATATGATATATCTTTTATAAAACCTTAATTGCGTCGTCAGTGAGAGTGTGGGTGAAGGCGATGTTACTGAAGTTTGCAATTTTGCCAATAGTGCCAAGGAAAAAAGGGGGGAGGAATTCCTTTCTATTAGCCATCGAATGTTTGACGTGATATCAGCAAATCTGTTAATAAAATGTTGGATGCAACATAATGTATGGTCTCACACACTTTTTCGTTCCGTTCTCTTTGTCTAACAGTATTCGTATGTATATCGTAGCGTATTTATCTTAACACTGCTTCTAGAAATGCTAGAACTATATTCGAAGACAGACGTATACACTTTCTACTACATTCAGTGTTCTCCGCTTTGGTTGACCTCTAGTATCATAATAGAATTTTTATATACATCTTGGTCACGAAAATCCTTATGCAGCTTTTATTTTCGCAATCGTTGGTCGTATTTATAAAAATTCCGAAAACCAAATTTTATGCGGCCATCCGGTCTAAGTAATTATATTCAGTAAAATTTATACTTTGCTAAAAAAATAAGACCTTAATAGTCTTTCGTGTTCATATTTATTAAAATATAGGGAATGCAACTGAAAATTTAACTTTCCTTATAGAAAGGAAAAATTTTCTTGATTTTGCAAATTCAGTTACCTTTGTCCTAAAACGTTAAATGCATTTAAGAAAATAATATCTGTCTGTGTTATCTGACTTGAAAATAAATGTTAATGCCTATGACTAAATATGAATTTACTATAAACAATTCATAACAGCTGTATTGATATTATGGTTATTTATAAATTAAATAACTAATTTATATGACAGGTGGTGAGTTTACGCTTTCTAATGATCGTTTTTCTTTCTACATTCTTAGTAAATTAATTTTTGTTATAGTAAAAATAGTAATACAGCACGACCATAAATACTATTTATAAATCAAGAATGAGCTCCTTGGAGATGCTTTCGGAATGAAACAGCTAGTGCTGCCATCTTAAGTTAAAAAACACAAACAAATCGTGTTGATATAATGCTACATCAGACGATATTTTTTAAATCTGTCCTTTAGAAAGACGTAAGAAATTACATAATACTCACTAGAAGAATTCAAGAAAAATTGCATTATTCTATGTTGGTAAAATTTTTTAGGCTAGTATATAATTTTGTATGGGAAATTGCAGATTGGGAGCTATTAAAGACGTAAGGGTACTATTCGGTTTCGAGGGCCGTAATAAATCGCCAAACTATTGTTGATGCCAATGCTGGCAAATATAATTACGGCAACTCTAATAATTGCGGCAAGAAAGGAAGTATAATAGTAAATAACTATTTAAGATTGATGTTTTAATTTAGATGAAAGGTTAATTTAATATAATACTTTTTTATTATTATAATTTATATGAAAAAGGCTAAACATGACTGTATGGAAGCATAAGAGTAAATAACTATTTCAAATCATTATTATAATTTACATAAAAATTGCTAAACATAACTGAATGGATGCCTGCATCGCTATTTCACTACCGACTTATCGCTAAAGCATAATTTCATCTCGTTGGTTGTTCAAACGTAATTTTCTAGAATGAATGATACCTTTTCTTTGAAAATATTCTCGGTAAAGTGCAGAATCACTCACTTATTTGTTTGCCGCTTTTTACAAGGGTAAAAACAATTGGATTTTTTTCCATTTTCTTTTACTTTTTAAGTGAAAATAGGTAGATGTGTACATAGATGAAGTAAAGGGCGTGCGCCGCGCCATTTTTGTGCAATTCTAGGATTTTTTTTAAGTGAAAATAGGTCGATATGCACATGGATACCGAGTACGTGCAATTCTTAAAACCGCGTCAAGAAGTGGGTGATTCTGCACTTTACCCAAAATTCTATTGCAGACTTTTCGTCATGGGCAGTTCCCAAATTGTTAAATCCATAGGATATCAAAAAAGGGATTTCAAAAATTAAACTAGTATTTCTAATGGCGTCAATTAAGAAATACAGAACTATATAAACTTTATATAAGTTTAAGCATATAAGTTCCGCAATCTGCTTTATATAAGTTCTGCAATCTGCTTTATATAAGTTCCACAATCTGAAATCAGCGCGTACGCTAGATTTGGCGCGCTGTTAAAAGTGGGTGCGTTTGCTAGATTTGGCGCTTTTGCGCATACATTTTCGCTGCAATTTTTTACGGCCCTCAAAACGGAATAGTACCAGACGTAATAAGAGAAATGCAAAACAAGTTAAATTGATGAACTATGTTTTTAAATCTATAATAAAAGTAACAGTGCACTAAGAGTTGAGAAAACGTTAGTTAAAAACACAACACAACAACAAAAGAAAACCAGATATAACATGATTTTGAAAGCATTTCAAAACTGCATATGCAATATGTAAAGCATACGCAATATGTATTGAATCTAATGGTACTTGCTCATGGCTCAGTAGCAGCAAGTTGCAATTCTGTGAATAAATAACGTATGAAAAATTACATTAATATAATTAATAGAATAGACTGCCACTGCAATCTGGACCGTTACTCCTTTATTACCTCTATAGATGCGATTTTCTTGCCCCTTCAGCACAAACAGCCAACTGCTGCTTCAGATTTCATTATTATTTTTCGGAATCCTTTAGCAGTGATTGGCATTGCCCGAAGATCCTTCAGAATCCAAAATTTCCATAAAACGGATGGTGTAAAATAGGCGTTTTGATAAAAGTAATATATTAAGCAATATAAAATTAATTATACTAATAATATAAAATAATAGTTGAGAAAACTGATATGATAAATATTAATAAATTCTGATCTTTCAAATTTAACGTCAGTGTGAAAGGCGAACACTAAAACTAGTTTCTTGCGAATGCTTATGGGTTTTATAACACTGCTGCGTGGCGTTGAAAATATTTGCATGTATGCTACGGATCTTTCATAACAATATGCTCTCTAATGGTGATATTTGGAATGAATTTGTTTTCTTTTCTGCCAGACATCTTTCCCATACCTTTAGTATAAATACACAAAGTTTCATATTTTCCTAATTACTGGCTATGGCTGTAGGGAACGAGGGAATAGTCGAACTTTGCTCATAGGGATATTGTAGGTGAAAAGCTGCACACTTTAGAGTTGATAGAGTTGCTCATAGGGATATTGTAGGTGAAAAGCTGCACACTTTAGAGTTGATAGAGTTGCTCATAGGGATATTGTAGGTGAAAAGCTGCACACTTTAGAGTTGATAGAGTTGCTCATAGGGATATTGTAGGTGAAAAGCTGCACACTTTAGAGTTGATAGAGTTGCTCATAGGGATATTGTAGGTGAAAAGCTGCACACTTTAGAGTTGATAGAGTTGCTCATAGGGATATTGTAGGTGAAAAGCTGCACACTTTAGAGTTGATAGAGTTGCTCATAGGGATATTGTAGGTGAAAAGCTGCACACTTTAGAGTTGATAGAGTGCTAGGGATATTGTAGGTGAAAAGCTGCACACTTAGAGTTGATAGAGTTGCTCATAGGGATATTGTAGGTGAAAAGCTGCCACTTTAGAGTTGATAGAGTTGCTCATAGGGATATTGTAGGTGAAAAGCTGCACACTTTAGAGTTGATAGAGTTGCTCATAGGGATATTGTAGGTGAAAAGCTGCACACTTTAGAGTTGATAGAGTTAAGATCTGAAATATCTCAATTAAAAGAGATATAAAAATAAAACGAGCTTTATAATAACATGTCATATTATGAAAACATGAAATCTATATTATACTATTAGAAAAGAACAATAACCTTCAAGGATTCCTCCCAAGAGGGCTTTATAAATTTTCTCATCGGATCGACTTGCACAGTTTGCAGACGTTTTTGAAAGAGGATCATCACACAATCCATGATATACATTATGAGGGCTGGTGGACGACCTAGCTTTCGTACAGTGGCTATAAAAATGCAAATAAGATATTGTTAGCAACAAAATGCAAATAAGATACTGACTTTAGTATATTAAATCTACTACAGACAAGCACAACATTTAATTTAAGATTTGCAAAATTACCCTTTATTATTTTAAGTTATAATAACATTTAAATTTCACAAAGGCGAAACAAAGCTAAGACTAGCAAGCATTTTGAAAAACTATCGATTTGGGAAGGCAATTAAACATTTGTTTCTCATTTTCAAAAACAGCAAATTAAAAAAAAAAAAAAAAAAAAAAAAATTCTTAAAAGTGTGCCGTTCTTTTTTTTTTCCGCTTGAAAAAGAGGGATCTGTATCCACTCACCCTCAAAATAGTTTAAATTTTAAGCTGTCATGTTTCTTTTACACTTATGTTAGCATAAACAAAATTTTAATATTTCTTCAAACTGAATGAAATTCTATAAACTTAAAATCACATAAAAGTCATAAAATAAAATGGAGCAAGTGAACCAAAGAATAGATTTTTTTTTGCACTGTAAAACAGTACAAAATGGATATTCACTTTTAACTCATTTGAACAAAAAGCTAAAAGACAATTGAATGATAAGGTGTATTTAATTATGGCAAAGCACACGAGGGCTATCTGCCTAAGGGGAGGGATGCCTTTCGTGGAGGACTTTCTAAGGGAAACTAGCTCGTATACACGTTACACATGGGGAAAACCACGAAAACGCCCATGCAGCCAGCCCGTTCGCGGGATTCGAACCTCGGACCGAACTACCAGTGTTCAGCGACTTTACCGCTCGGCCGCTGGTGGGCCTATTGAATGATAAGACACCTATTATAGGTAAGAAGTTTTCATCTTGAAAGTGTGTTGTTTTGAACTGTATTGGGACTAAACCGGTAAGAATTCGTTCCAGAAGGTTCTCCAACCGTCCATGGTATATCGCCAATTTTTCGTCAAATGGGCGATTTCTTGCCAAATGTGGCGACCCTGCTCTCCTTTGCATTTTATGGCAACCCTAAAACTGCTTTGCGGGTAAGCTATCTTACCGCGCCTGTACATTTCGTAACAATATTTTTAAATAAAAGTTTGTTATGACATGATAAAAACAGGTAATTTGTGATTGTAAACCTACATGATATTTTTCCTCTAATTTTTCAATTACATACTTCCAAATACACCTATGAATATAGTATAAATACTTTTAAAAATTTTCAACTTGGGAAAAAACATTAAATTTTATGTTATTGATGCTTGATCAGAAAGGAATTTTTAAGTCCCCTCAAGCTTAAAAAAATATTTATTGGAATTTATAACCGTCAAAACTGTAAGGGTACTTCTTTATATATTATGTATATTATCTTATATATATATATATATCCGGTACTCTTAACTTCTGGATGTAGACATGGCTGGGAGGATAAGGCAGGAATAAGACGTTGACAAAACCAATTTAGGCGAATCACCATCTTTATTTTTACACATCAAAATATATTTATTTGACAGATAAATTACGTTTCGATCATAGTTCGTCATTTCAGGCAAGGAAACATTTGCATGGCAGAAGTCAGGAAAAAAGGGAAGCGTGACTCAATATTTATACTTCGCAGGAGTACAGACGATTCTAAGCTATGATTGGTCTATATTAGTTTTAATTAACTTTTTCAAGCAGCGTTATATAATTTGGAATGATCTCGAATTTGGGAGAACAGATGAATTTAGGGGGAGGGCACCAAATTTAGAATGTTAATATGGTATGGTATATTTAATTATAGCAAAGCACACTAGGGCTATCTGCCTAAGGGGAGGAATGCCTTCGTGGAGGACTTTCTAATGAATGTTAATATGGAGATCGCCAATTATTTTTTAAAACAGCCATCGTATTTTGTTTATGGTACTTCTATATACATTAATTTAATATTCAGTCGAATATTTTGCCAGTACGGTACTACTGGAAAATATTTGACTTCGAATATTTATCTGGGATATCAATATTTAAAACGTTTCATAAAAATTTTAGCATTTTTATTCCCATCTGAAATAAAAATTGAATAATAAAGTACACCATAATTGCCTAAAGTATAATTATTTACCAATGTGTGTAGGTTGGATAGTATTAAGAGCTGCCTCTGCGTCTTGGAGAGCTGGCCTGGCAGCTTCTAGCTTCTCCTCGGCAATCGCTTTGTCTACCTGTATTTCTTTCACTATCTCTTGAGCAGCGTTTTTGGCTTTTTCTACGCTGTCTCGCACAACTTCTGCGGCATCTGCTCTCACAGACACTTCTGCCAGTACCTATAGATGCATATTCAAAACAGTTATTTCAATTTAAGAAAATTCTCTTTTTTTCAGATGAGATTAAAAAAGTCGTTTGACACAGGCATATTTTATAGATGATCAACACGTATTTTAGCCTGTTGTAAAAAATTCTACTTCTGTTGAATATTTTTTCCTAGCCCTAACGATTGCTCATAATCTAATGATTGTTCAAAAATATTCATCATCACTGCTTTGAAAGATATTGTCTATCTTTGTAGATTATGTAATATTTTTAAAACAATAAATAAACAAATTTTATTACATAAGATCTGGTTTTATATATATATTTAAATTGCTACATCTTAAAGCATTTACTACATCTTTAAGCATATGTTTCTTCCATTAATCTCTGACTTAAAAATGTTACTGAAAAGGCATAATTCTAGAGTAATTTACTTTTTTTTTATATGCCACTTTTTCCCACAAAAACATATGTAATATACTTTTATTGTTAAATCTTTCAGTTCAAAATTTATGTATCTCATAAAATTACAACTGAAAACTGTATTACAAACATATCTTATTACAAAATGAAGATAATATTTTACCTGTTCTGCTGTTTTGGAAGCTAGTTCAAGTTCCTCTTCCATTGTTGCAAGAGTCTCCTTCATTCGTTCGACCAGAAGAGATGCTTCTTCTAGCTTCGAAATTCCACTTTCCATGCGAGTACATGTGTTCCCGATCTCTATATTTTTCTCTTCGTATATTTTTTTATATCCATTGATGAAAGATAAGAACGATTTAGGCGTGACATGTGCAGGGCGGCGAAATCTGAACAAAATGGAAAGGTACGTTTAGCGAATTAGAAGCCATTAACCATTTATTACATTTTTTATCTACTACTATTATTCCCGAGTACAAGGAAAGGTTCAAAATCTAATCACTGCAAAATATAGAATGCGATGACATTATTTTGAGGAATGTTTCATCTTTTTTTTAGAATCACTAATTTTCATTTCTGGTTAGGTTTAATTTACATTTTCCCATTACTAACTTTTTATGAAGCTAATAAAATGACATATTTTTCTGTATTTAAATTGATCCATTCATTTCGATATTTAGTGGATTCATTTAATGGCTTTTTCTATAGAAATTAATTTGAATAATTTAAAAATTCCTTCCATACAGAGGTCATGATACTTATATTTAATTGTTGTATATTATAAAAAGAACCCATAACCTTTGGTAGTATTCTGCACATTGCTCAGCTACCAGGTCGTGCATGTCCGACATAGTGTGGATGACTTCTTGCTTTGCAGTCTCGTCACATTGAAGATCAAAGTCTCGCAAAAAGTGCCTCGATACCGAAATCAACGCCTCTTTCGGCCACGGTTGAAACCAGTCCACAGTACATCCAGATACTATTCCAGGGAACTTCAAAGCTCGAGCCCGTAATGTTTCTCCCACCTAAAATAAAAGCAAATAAAATCAAAATTTATGAGACTATTTGGCAAATTACCTTTATTACATTTTAAAGCATATGTCATCTTAAAGCAAATGAAAAAAATTTTAAGTGTTAACACTTAAACTTTTTTCATTTGCTGACACCCTCCGTACGATTTTACGAAAGCAAAATTTTTAAATAATATACAGCAATATACAAAGGCATGCGTCAGTAAACAGATTTGTCAATGCGTTGGCCAAAATATGTCTTGAGAGACATGATTGCCATGTAATTGAGAATCTTAGTTACCATTAATATTAAATTTATTTTAAATAATAAAAAGTAAAATAATATGACTGTAGTTTTAAGTTCTTCAGTCAAGCTCTAAAAATAGTATGACCACCAACAGCCGAACGACAAAATCACGAAACACTGATAATTCGACCTGGGTCAAATTCCTGAGAAGAGGCTGGCTTCGTGGGAGTTTTGATGATGTTCTCATGCACAACATGAATAAAAGCGAGTTTTAGTCAGAAAGACCTACACGAAGGCATCCCTGTCTTTAGGCAGATAGCTCTCCGGTGCTTTGCCATTATCTAAATCAAGGATTTCCAAAATTTTACTTGAACTTCTTGAATTCCTTTTTAAAAGAACAGTTTTCTTCATAGACTTTCTTTCAATTTTCTGTACATGAAATAACAATCAGAATACAAACAACAGAATCATAATACAAATAATTGCGCATACATAACTTAGCAATTAAACTAGGAATATGATCAAAGGTTATGGAAGAAAATGGTTTATTAGACTTATGTTCAATTATATTTTTTGTATTCTTTATTTTTTTTAACTTTAAAAATATAAAAAAATTATCAGGCACAAAGTCACAGATTCTCATTGCCCGAAAGTTCAATTTTAATTAATGTGACTCCTGCACATGATTTATTTATGCAACGTTTGGTTCGGTAACAACTTAAATTTTGAGATATTTCTTTTAGATGACTTTTTAATTCCGCAACTTAGCTTTTAGAGACATAGGTTATTTGGAAGCAAGACATATGGAAAATGAGCATTGCCCTCGCCGGACTCGAGCCACGCACCTCTCGAATACGCGTCGAGCGTGCTGACTACTATACCACGAAGGCATGCTATGAAGGCTGGAAAAAAAACCTTATAAGCTTACCCATGTGTTCTGAATAAGATATGAGATATTTGTATGATAAAGTTTTATACATCAATAAACAATTAATTATAAAGTTTATTAATACTCTTTTTTGTAATCAATGGGTTCTTGATCATGATCAGTTTGCCGATGCACATTCGGCTAGCAATCCCATAATCATCACAGATCCTTTTTAATATTTTATCGACCCCCAGGTAGTCCATACTGCTGATCTAAATAAGCCAATTCATTTAAAATGTTCTGCTCATATTTTCATAATAACACAATCAAGTTTCATTCACCAAAAAAAAAAAAAAAAAAAAAAAAAAAAGAGAGAGAGAGAGAGAGAAAAAAGAGGAAAAAATAACGTAATCATAAGTCTTTTTCCTACTTCTTAAATTAAAATAAAATTCTGAATAGAAAATTTGCATTAGTAGAATACAGTGCTTATTTGTTTTAAGTCATTGATTAATAGTGAAATATTTTGCTTGTTATAAAATAGGGAGCAATCTTTCTTTTACGGAAAATTTTGCGAGTTGATAAAGATAAAACGGACTTCAGTTAAAAGTGGACTAGAAGCTATTAAGATTTTCGAAAATTCATGTCCAGATGACTGTAAAAGTTTTCTCCAGCTTCAAAACGAATGCAAGAAGAACAGTGAAGATAAATAATCTCACTCGGAAAGGTGTAATAAAAATTTTAATTAAAAGTATGATTTACATTAAAGAATATATGGCTGACGTCCCATTATATTCGTACAGTAAAACATCAAATAGCTCTTACTGGTGAGAAACATAATACAACGTGCAGGTTTTTCCGAGTCCTATACAGAAAATAGTCCATCACATTTTCTGGAGTCGGGGGCCTGCGAGGTTGTTCTCGCTTCATCATAGGAGTCAGTTCCGTTATAATATCCAGCTTCTCATCCCGGTTAAAAAGATTTGATACCTACAATAAATGTTTATATAAAAGATAGGAATTACTTGATAGGAAAGTATTTCAAAGGAAACAGAAATATTTCGCTCTTCAGAGTATCAGTTTTATGCATTAAGAATTATACCAAGAAAATTAACTTGAAGAGCTTTAACAGGAAAAGGCAGGGAAAAGTTTAAATTTTACTGTAATGCGCTGAAATACCTCGCTTTGTCCGGGAAAATGATTTCGCCAATACTCTGGATAGTTTGGAAGCAAATTAATCGAGGAACTAAATCGTTTAATAGTTTATTATTTATTAAAAAAATCTGAAAATTTTCAAATTTTATATTACGCCCAAAAGGACCTTTTTTTAACTTTTTGTGTGTTACCTTTATTTATTAAATATCATGTTCTTCGCACTTAAACCATAAAATTCAGTTCAAGAGCAATATCTCAAAATAGTTTTAAATTTAGCATATCTTTAGGATTTCCGATAAAGTCTCGCGCGCTGGAGATAAAAACTTTTTTTCGTACAGTGTTGCCATTGCTCGCTTTGAAATCGTTAAATTTGTTAATCAAGAACTCGTTACAGTTTTACAAAATATGAAATATATAATAAAGCAAATTCCAAATTTGTGCTTTCAGATGCCATATTCGGGTGGAAACGCACGTTATTCAAAATTTGATGGCTCTAAGTACCGTTGTTTTATGACAGCGTGAGAAACATAATACATTCATTCATCCTCATTATTTAATTTCTTTAAATATAACATAGGGCTATAACATTTGGTGGCAACAATCTGAAAAGTTAAACGAACATTTAAAGTTTTAAACGCAAAATGCCAAAACGAAATTAATAGCCCTTCTGGGTTAACGCTCTTTGTGCTGAAAATAATTAATATCAAATTTTTTCCCTCTGATTTCAATAAATGAAATGCAATTCACAAATTAAAAAGTATTTATTAGAAATAATTTTAAAAAATACATACTTTAGGAATACATTTTCAGTTCTTTAATTTCTTTCTTTAGAGCTTTTTTTTTTCCACCTATCTATTTGTAGCAACGAATTGTATTGCTTATCGTTCGTTCAATTGCGAGGCTACGTTCGCTATTATAATCAGCTTTCATAATATTCTACCAAATCTAATTTTTAATAGTGATTCAGCTACTAATTCTCGTACAGCCACTTCAATATAGTCATCATCGTCTTAAGTCTCCTTCCATATATATATATATATATATACATTTGTCCAAATGCGACGTGTTTCGTTCCATTAAACTTTCGCTGAACATATTTACGCGAATATTACTCAAGATTGGAATTTAAATATTTGTAGCATTCCATTTTCAAAAATCAAATCAAAAATTAACGCATGAATCTAAATGTAGAAATGTTTGAAGCTTTTCATTTTCGAATATGTTTGACTGTAATTACGAATTTAATAGAATATAATAAGATTTTTATCAAAAGCATTGTATTGACTTATAAAGATTAATTACGGAACCTGTGAAAATGAATTTCCTGTTATTTCACATTTCATCATACTTTATTCTTATATAATGTACATAGTGGTTATTTTAAATGAAAATATTTATCCAAAATATGAATTTGAATTTATTATTTGTATTAATTTCATTTGCATTTTGAGTGCACATAGAATTTAAACGGTGGAATAAAAAACGAGAGGATTGCACCGAATAAAAAATATTAGAAGGAAGATTTGAAATATTTCAGTATAATAATTACCACTCCACATGTCAAAACATTATTCAAATACTCCAAAAAGCATTCATCTTTCAACGCTTGGTCAGTAAAAATAAAAGTTGTTCCTTTATCCTGAATACCCGTAGTACGATACAAAACCTTGAGATCTTCTAAGAAATTCGTTGCATTGTAATTCCTGAAAAATACAGCAATACGAAATGGAGATCCATTATTAAATGTATAGGATGGTCTACAAACATGAATGTTTTATGCATAGAAATGAAGAAGAAAAAATAGAAATAAAGCCTTACACACTGGATACGATAAATGAAAGTCCTAGTTAGCTAACAGCAATATTTACCATTTAACGTTAAAATGAATCATAAAATTCAATAAAAATAATTATGTTTAATATGAATTTACGATAATCGAAACATTTTATACATGTTCTTCGATCGGTTGGTAGGATATATATATTTATATACATACGTAGACAATAATGTTCTTAAAACGCTTTCTATTCTTAAAAATTTATTTGGGTTGAAGAAAGAATAATTAACCAAGCTTTAATTTCTAAACCTAAATGTGTTAAAGTCCTGTGAAAGTTCTGTATGGTGTACCTTTGTAATTTAAAAATATGTATAAGCATTTAAAATTATTATCATACGCAAAAATAAATGATAAATATTCTGCGGAAATAAGGTCTAGACATTAATGGAAAGTGCGAAAGTTAAGGAAAATTAATGGTAATAAGAAAGATAATACAATAAATGTAAAATTTAAAAAAACCGCATTTAATTCATTTTTAAGTCTACCATATATATATTATTTTACTTAAATACTTTATGAAAAATATTTCTTATATAATCCATAGAAAGAAGTCTTTAAACTTTAGAAAACCGAAACGATGTTTTAGCGAACGTTTCGGTTTTATCGAACGTTTCGGGGCTATATGTTTTAAAATATCGAAACGCCCACCTCCGTTCATTACTCGTCCCTTCCGTTTCCTCTCCTTACCCTTCCATTCACGCACAAAGAAGTGCGAAGATCTTTCTACTTCCTAACAAAGAAGCTTCCACTAGCCTTTTAAGACTGTCTTCAAGAACTGATACAAAGCGTTTGGAGAAACTGCACATGCTACTGCAAACCTTACATGAATTAAAGAAAACAATATCGCAATCTCAACTCTTTCGGGCGTTTGTGTGATTTAATGAAAGGCAATCTCGGGTGTTTTGTCCTTCAAAAGGTTAACACTCGGATGAATATTTTTCATGTACTTTGAGTGTAAATAGAAAAAAGAAAATATCAACTTTTTTTATTAAGTCGCTTTTCTCCTTCTCCTTCCAAAAAAGGAATCTGATAGCAATGATTATTTAATGAGTGAAAAAAACCGACATTTGATTACAGTATCTGGGAAAAATAAATAGCGGTCTCGTTAACCGGGGAGGATCAAGCGAGTAGAGATATCAACCGGGCTTTATCTAACACAAAAGTTAAATTGAGGAATGATTTAAATTGTTAAAATGAAATTTCTGAGGAAAGTAGACAAAAAAAAAAAAAAAAAAAAAAAAAAAAAAAAAAACACTAAAAATTTGTGAGTTAATAACAGGGATAACAGATGATGTCAAAATATAAATTAGCTTCTTTATTTCTAATGATCTTACATCAATGGTCTCAAATTAGTCACCCACAGGTCGCATGCAGTCCAGGAAGCAAATTTAATCGGCCGTGAATTAATTAGCAGTATTACTAGAATAATCTGAAGAAAAATTAAGATTTTAATTATGTGGAATCCAGTTTTGTCTTATTTTTATTCCTATTAAAAACGAACGGGAATAACGCAGTACAAATTCTACAAATAGGGTTGATCCATTTATACTATGTTATAAACCTTATTTAAAGATTTAAAGGCACACCTTTTGATTAATTTTTTATCGTACTTTTCAAAAGATAAATACTTTAAGTTACGAGTTTCTGAAATCCGAATAACCGCTTTCTTTGGGAATAAATTTATGCATCAGCAATTTGTTTTTCGGTAGTTGAAAATTAACATATATAAAAAAGAACCGGATTGGCCGATAAGCATCTGCAGTTCCTGATGAAGAGAGTCTCTAGTAATGTTTCTCCAGGGGTACGAACTTTATCACAATCGAAACGTCATTAAGTGTTGCAGTTGAAAATGTTTGCAAAAATTTACATATAAATCTGTGTATTTTTCTTGTACGTGTCAAAGAAAGATTTGACAAATAAGAGAAAAAGAATAGGTTGCCATCAATTATTCTCAAGTTTCTTCCCACTTGGAAAGCTTTCATAATTTGTTTATTTTAAATTTAAGTAAGTTATTTAATGGCTTATTCAACATATCAAAATTATTTGAAATGAAAGTTAGTCAAAGAATTTAACTGTCTTTTGAATACTTTTGAATTACAACTGTAACTATCAGAAATTTCAGGCGGCTACCAGCTTTTAGATTTTAAAGGGAAAGTCAATATGAATAGGAATTTTTTCTCCTTTCTGTTATTGCTATCAATTTTTATGTATGTTTTGATAAATATTTAGTAAATAAAATTTTAAATTTAGTTAAAGAATTTTGTTTTATTAAAAAAGTTCCATTTGTTTAAAAAAATTCGACTCATCAGCCACTTTAACATTTAGCCTTCCTACAACCTCAGTTTGTAACCAATAATTTAAGGTATCTCCTTTTTATTTTGAATTCTGATTGAATTTATGCAATAAAATGAAATAATTCTGCAGATTAAACTATTTGATAATACAGGCATATTGTTAACAATTCCTTACTGTTTTTCATAGTATGCGTTTTTCGTCGCTTCTGTGTTTTTAACTGTCATCAGGTTAAGCGCAGTTCTGGGTAAACTATAAAATTCATTCCCGGTATCAGCTCGGATACTCGAGAATTGACTGCAATTATTTTGACCTGCTGCTGTTTCTTTTCCATTAAACAAAATTGCTCGTTAAAAAGATCTAACCAATTTCAGCCAATTTTATTTAAGCAGGAAAATTACTCTCATGCAAGCCAGCGCATAATTATTTCGCATCCAAATTGATAAAGGAACATTTTTCCTGGTATAAGCTATATCTGGTTGTAATGAAGTTTTCTGCCAAAAACGATTTTAAGAGAATTAGAAGAAAAAACCTGAAATCAGTGTCTTTAGTGCGGGTAATAATCACCACCCAAATTCATGATTTTCTACCAACGTTTAGGTTGTTTTTCAAAGCCTTCAGCCCTGAAACTTGGTGGCTTCGAGTCCAAAATCAGAACAACCTCATTTCGGACGACCTGTGCAGAATGGAATACAGCACCAGCAAGCTGTAGCTGCAGGGGTGAAAAAGGGTAGAAGTCCGAAGAAGGGATGTCGGAGCTATATGTTGGGTGTGGCAAAAGATCGCATTCGAATCTGTACAGATTCCAGCCGGTGAATGCAGACACAAGTGGTCTTGCATTATCTTGATGGAGCATTACCTGTTTGCGCCGGAACTCAGTTCGAAATTTTTCCTTGATAGCAGCGTTAACATGAACTCACATTTCGCTGTATACCTTACTGCCGAGGCTTTTACCTCTTTCCAAATACACCACGGCAATCCCAGCAGATACAAAGCATGATCTTTTTGTTAGTCAAATTGCGCTTTGCGACGCTGCTCACGTACCAACCTTCTTTACGGCCTTTGTTGTTGAAGTAAACCCACTTTTCATCGCAAGTGACCACCCACTCCAGAATTTTGTCCTTGCGTTGATATTCGAGCAGATTAGTTGCAGGCTCGAACACATATATTCTTATCTGCTCGAGTTATCTCATGCGGCACCCAGAGATTGAACTTGTACGTCAAGTTTTTGCGATGCATAGCGCGACTAATAGACATGGCACTAACTCTTTAGCAAGCACTGGAGTGGTTGCATACTGATCTTTCACAAGTTCTCCAGGCGGGTCATATCAACATCAGTAGGCCGGCCAGAGCGATCTGCTTCAAAAATGCCATAGTTCTCATTTTTAACATTCGGTACCAAATTTTCACAGTATCATATGATACAGCATTAGTATGTAAAGTTGTACGCATGATTTGGTGACATTCTGTGGCTGACCTTACTTTTTTGAAAATTTCACAACACAGTCTTCTAAAGTCACTTTCTTTCAAATGCCAGAAATCGTTTGACAAAATATGATTAAACACCCCAACGCGAACTGTATTGTAGAAACAGTCTGCTGTGGGTTTGGTCTAAATTTAAAGGTTGATAATAGTAGTTAATTTATTCTAAACTTGACACTAAAGATGCGATCAATGCGATCAATTACTGCATAAAAACAGTAACAGTTAGCGAGTAACAGTCATGAAACCCTTTCAGTATGCTGTTGAATTCGAGTAACAAAAATTTAATTAAAAATTGATGGTAGGAGTAGCTTTTAACAGGATTTACTAACTTTAAGAAAATGATTGAAAAAACATTGTTTGAAACAATAAGAGTAATATATCTCTAATTCACCCGAAAACGCACTTTATATTTTATTATCGTCACCAACACACATGTTTAAACAGAGTGTTTATCTGCACACTGACAAAAAATAATACCAAAATCTAAGAAATTGTAACTTTTTATATACAGATTCAGTTTTCGGCATTAAGTCAAATTTTTAATATATTTATCGAACTTATCATACTTCGAAAACATCTTTATTTAGGATAGTAATTTCTCTGCGTTGCTAGAACAGTTTTAATTTTACATACTTCAGTTTTTTTTTAAATATTTTTAATGCGCATGTGAAAAACATGAATTTAGTATACAACGCCCATTTGGGCTTATTTTTCAATAGCCATTTTACAAAAATTAAGATATACCTGGTCAAATTAATTTGCTGTATATTGTAATGAGCAATAAATGCAGCCAATTTTGTCAAGGATTGTTTGCCAGATCCACCCACACCAATCAACAAAGCATGACCGCCAGGGCATCTTATTATTCTTGAAATCTAAAAACATTAAACACATAGCAAACTTATCCTTAATAATGTGAATTCTATTTGCTGAAACAGAATTTTGAGTCAAACTTTATTTCTATTATAAAATGTCTTGTTAATTAAAAACTACTTCCCTATTTCATCGAAACTGTTTTAAAATATATAAAAATTTGAATGCTGATTAATCATATTGTAATCATCGTTTACAAATGCCGAATACAACAAATTAATTAAAATGACACTTTTTAACTTTTTATGGCATTAAATAAATGACTAGATATGGAATAACATTAGCTGTTAAGGAAGTTAATATGTGAAACTACATTATATTAATTACGAAATTTTACACAGTTTTCTTTTTCAGCTGTTATAATAACAACAATAGCAACGCAATAAATACGGAAGAGGAACTAACTGGCGCGTTAAACATAAACATATTAAGACATATTACCTCTATTAGGACATTTTTCATACACTGTGTTCATGACAGACTTTCAAAGTTCTTTGCTTTTACAACCGTTTGTGGTAAACATGCTTCTAACTACAAAAATGGTTTAAATCACGCAGATATTCTGTTTGAGAATTTTTTAATTTTATAAAAATTAAGAATAATCTTTTGTATGGTTGCCCGGTCTATGCAATTGCATTTAGCAAGCATTTACCTCGAGAGTCTGTTACAATATTGAAGCAAGTCAGAAGTTTTTTTAGAGCACAAATTTTGTAAGATTCTTTGAATAACATCTCTTTTTTAAAAAGGTTTATATAGACAGTATTGGACAGTACTGATTAGATTTTTTGTTGATTTGTTTGTTTTTTGGAAGTATAATTTGCATCTTTAGTTCAGTTTTTGCGAGACAATTGACAAAATATTCAAATTATCTTAATTTTGAACACCAGCGTAATAATATTACAGAGAATAAAAATTAATTGCAATATACAAAGTCATTAAAAAAGAACATATTTAATTAAATTAGTGTACCCTTGTGAGATGAGAAACAGCATCCTTAAAAAATACTATATCTAAATGCCCTGTACGAGCCACTTCATTGTAGAGACTCAATAGGAAAGTCAACCTTTCTTGTAGCGTCTCCAACGATCGCACCTATACGTAAAACGTAAGTTCACTTTATTCAAGAATACAAACAAAAGTGAATATTAAAAGTGAGGTTTATAAAGAAAGTCAATATAGATTAACAATTACATAAATACTAAGCTAAAATACTTTATAATTTTTATATCAAAATATTACACAGCTTTCCTTTTTATTTAAAATTCGAGTAGCCTTATAGTACTTTAGATTCCAAAAATTAAACTACAATTTTTTTGGCTTTTGACACCAAAAGAGAATGTACGAGGTAAAATGATTGAAATGAAAATAAAAGAATTGGGAACTGTGGCAAAAGGTGTAACATAGCCTAAAAAGACAACAAACAAAATGCATACTTAAGAACTATAAAGTGATTTTTGTTGGTTAGAGTATACAGATTTGGCTGGCAAGCTTTACAGAAGATAGTAGACAAGTATTCAAAACTGTCATCTACAAAAGTTCACTTAATGCTAAATAAAATTGTGCAATATATGTACGCAAAGTGCTTTTACGAGTATTTTTAAATCATCTTTCGCTGAATACGCAATTTTAAATAAAACAAAAATATATATAGCTAGGACGGACTATGAATACATATAATCTGTACACGTAACAATAAACAATAGTCTAAAACATTTAACTACTGAATTTACTGAAATTATTTATCCTACAAATGAAACTAAAATATATTATATTTGAAGGAAAGAGAACATATTTTGATACTGTAAGGATCTTAAGTTTTACTAACGTTTATTTTTATTTTAAATCTTTACTATCACTTCTTATTTTCTACTTCCGGCCAGAATTAAAAGCGTTAACTTATTTATGCAAAATTTGTCTGGCGAACGCCAAGTACTTAAGTTGTGGCTTTTTGCCAAGCGAGAGAGAGGAAGGAGCTAGTCGAAGCAGGCCGCTTGCCCTAAAAGTTATATCGGATAATGGTCCTCAATTTGTAAGTAATGTATTTGAAGACATGTGCCAAAAACTGGGCATACGTCATTTAAAAATGGTCCCGTATCGCCCGCAATCAAATATAGCGGAACGGGTCAATAGAAATATAGTGAAAATTATCCGTAGTTATGTTAAAAATTTTCATAAAAGCTGGGATAACAATGTCAATGAATTTGCTTTCGCCCTTAGGACCGCAAAACATGATACAACGGGCAAAACTCCTGCTGAGTTATTTTTAGGCAGAAAGATTATAACGCCGTTAGATAAATTATTTTATGTGCAACAAAGAGCGCCAGAATTTAAAATGGGTGATATAGAAAAATTAATTAAAGAAGCAAAAAAGAATACTGAAGTAGCACAAAGAAAACATAAGCTTTATTATGATATGAAACGACAGGGAGTAACTTATAAAGTAGGGGATGAAGTTTTAAAAATTAAGCATTCACTTTCTATAGCACCAGAAGATAAAACTGCCAAATTTTTTCCACGATTTGAAGGACCATATGTCATAGAAAAAATAACTCACGCTAGTGGTGTTAAAAGCCAGGAATGGTGAAACATGCTCCGCAAACATTGCTCAAATAAAACCCTACTATGATCGTAATAAAATGCAAATTTTCAACGATCTTTTGCAGGATCCGGCACGGCAGACACGGCAGGCACAAGCTCCAGAGGTAGAACAACGTCAAGCACAAGGATAAGCCATTAGGAGGCAGGGGCAATTGAAAAGAAAGTTTCCTCGTTGGAAAATTGAAGGTAACAAGAAAAAGAAGCCGTTCCACCGTCCAGAAAAGAGAGCTCACGAACACCCCCCGAATGAAGAAGGGAGAAGTACGACGAATGCAAAGAAAGCCAGGAGAAATAACGGCAACTATAACCCGGCTCCCAAACGTAAGATCTACTCATCGGACAGGACTCTCCGCAGCAAATGTCGCCGAACTGCGGAAGGGCCACTAGCGGCGGAGGAAAAGATACAAGGAAAATTTGAACGGCCAGCAACGAGGTCCAAGCAGGAACGAGAAAGAAGTATCCCGGTTCCGCCAAGACCAGCTGCCATCAAACGGCCAAGACCAGGCAGAGGCGAAAAAGAAGGTATTCAAGGGTGACCGAACTGGAGGAAAAAGAAAGCTTCTAGAGGAAGAAACTGAGGGGCGAGCCCGCACAAGAAAAAGGATAAATCAAACGAGAATCTTCGCTACCTTCCAGGACTGGGCTCAGAAAAGAATGTCCGAATATCACAAAGATAAGAAAAATTTTATGTTACTTTGCAAACTTAAGTTAATCTTTCATTCTTACTGCAAGTGGCAGATTTCAAGAAGTTTTACCTCATGTGAGGTCTACCTTTATCGCCAAAAAGGCGAGAAATGAGTTGTTACCGATTTTGGTATTATGTTTTTCAATTACTCGCGCGTAAAACTAAAGTTGATGTATAATAGCGTTGTGTAAAGACTTAAATATTGTAAAAAGTTATTGTATAAATTTTATTTAAAACATTCTAGCAAGAAAGAAGTTTTAGTCTGAAAGACTTTTTGAAATGTAGTATTATTTCAATGTAGAAAGAATTGGCACTTGCTTTGAAAAGAATAGAAGTTAACAATGTACTACTAATGTATGTTTTCAAATCTGAAAAATTAACGGCATGTTAATATGTTCTTATATACAATGTGAACTGTTATTTTAAATGTTAAGAAATACTGTGATATGGTAAAAGTAAAAGTAATGCCAAAAAAAATTTTTTTATTCGTGTGACTGTAAAAAGACCAAATTATGGTGAATATGTGTTAAAGGTTGAATGAATGTAGTTAGGCTCTCTGACGCTACACTTCAGAGTTAGCCACTTTCAGAATAGTACCTCAGGGTTTAGAGTTGAAGATAGGGTGTGTTACGAGGTCTTGTCATGTTGAATTTTAACACGTTAGTGTTTTGAATGTAGGAGGCAGTGTTGAACACGTATACATAAACACATTCGTGTTTGGTGTTCTTTTACAACACATGTCAGAGAGCATGGGGAGAGATAATTAAAATAGTCATGAATGAAATAAGAATGTTAAGAGAAATGTAAATATGCATGTTACTTGCCATTTCATTGTGTAACATTTCATTAAACTAGTTTTCCTTCCAGATCTCTGGAAGGAACCAGATTTGAATAAAAGCTCCTGTTTAGATGCAGTACAGATGAAAAATTGGTTTTCCATGGAGCTGCTATTGTAAAAACAATTTTTTTTTTAAATTTCTAGTTTCTAGTGAGAAATGTTTGTAAAAGATTGGTCTCGTGTTAGATTCTAAAGCTAAAAGTTTTCAACAAGGTCGTTTTAGACCTCAGTTTCAAACTAATTAACTCTATCGGGAAGTATGTAAGTATCTTAAGTTTTACTAACGTTTATTTTATTTTAAATCTTTACTATCACTTCTTATTTTCTACTTCCGGCCAGAATTAAAAGCTTTAACTTATTTATGCAAATTTGTCTGGCGAACGCCAAGTACTTAAGTTGTGGCTTTTTGCCAAGCGAGAGAGAGGAAGGAGTTAGTCGAAGCAGGTCGCTTGCCATAGAAGTTTTACGCGGTTGCGGTTGCCTTCCAGGCCAGAGGTTTAATCCTCGTGATAATTTTAAACGTATTGTAGTGTTAACAGTTCTCTGTACTACATACGGCTTCCTGTTAATATCCGGCCAATCTTATACGTAGGCCCTTGTGGATTATTCCAAATTTAAGTTAGAGTTTAGTTATATTTTTATATTCTTACGTTCAGACCACAAGTAGTTGGTCTCTGTATTCCGAAGTACGGAAATTATTGTAAAGAGTAAAAAATAAAGGGTTTTGTATACCCTTCCTGTGTATCTTGTCTACTTCCCACAGTTATTGAACATAGCTTTAGTAAGCTCCCTGTTCCGAGTCAGGTCTGTGCATGTTCCCAAAGAAAGTAAGACGGAACATTGAACCTGATAATACAACCGCCTCATTTGAACTTCATTGATTATCTCAGTCACCTTGCAACTTTTTAACCTGCAATCTCGCAACCAATTATTGTCATGCAGATATTAAATTTAAGCTTTCCACATATTTTTCTACATCGCCGCAAGGATTGGTATGGATTGGCACATATTTTTCTACATCGCCGCAAGGGTATTTTTTCCACTTCATTTGCTATGGGAAGTCTCCGATCATTTTCATCCCCCGATAAAACGTATGTCAAGAAAATGACAAGTCTAGTAAAAGTTTGTCTACACTTTTGTTTGCTTATCTGTCCAAGGACCGGTTAAGCAATAAATGGAGTCATGCAACCACGTCAAGCCTTTTTTTAAGGCGTCACATCCTGTATCTCCTTCAACGAAAGGCTTTCTATCATTTCACGAGTAAGAAAACATCTTTCAAAGCGCAGGTCTGTACCTCTACGCTACCGACTGCTGTTTTTCTCACTAAGGCAACAGAAAGCATTCTGTTGCAACAGAGAGAGAGAATGCTTTCGATTTTTGGAGACAAAAAAATCGAAAGCATTTTTGATTCAGAATCTAATTAGTTAGTTTTGCCGGAAATTTTAGACTTTAAAATACTCGGACAAAATGACATGAAACGAAAGTGTTATGCACAGGCTACAAATGAAACATATGCATAAAAATATGATTGTAGCATACTCACAGGTTCATATATCTTTGGTGTTTCCACTTCAGCTTCATCTTCGGTTGTAACTTCAGGGGTATCTCTTAAAGCAAATTTTAAAAATAAGTAAACGGCTTCATAGTTAATCATTTATTTTTTATCTCTCACATCTACATAAATGTATTCATTGATAAAAAATTATAATTGTGAGAAAATTCAGTGAAATGATTTGACGGATCTCCGTTTTTAATGGCTTAAAAATTTAGAAAAGCATTCTTATAGAAAAATATAAATTATAGAAATAATACAAATATTTATAGAATTTTATGGATGTTCTGAAAATTATACTTAACTTGTGTTCTTTTAGAGTACGTTAAATATAAATTATAGTTTGTTATTTGTAAACTTAGAGTTAAATTAGGACATAACTCGTCTCTGAATTTGGTGACAACCTGGGGGTCATCTAATAAAAATTTCTTAAATTAGTCATTTGCTGCCTTCTTTAAACCATGATTGATTTAATTTAGTAAACTTCTACATTACTGCTGATCTGGACGATTTACACATGCGCCAAAACCTTAGGATATGTTTTTAGCATTTACAGAAACAGCATTTTGTAAAATTTATATGATAGTCCTACCTTGCATGCATTATTTTGATGCATACATACCTTAATATGGAGTGAGCTAGTGTGTTGACTAGATTACCGCTATCAGCGCCTTTTAGGATAACGTACTGAATTCCTTATTTGAGAAATGATTCTCATGTATAAAGGTTGTAATTTTCTGAAAGATCTCTGTATGAAATGAGAGCAAAAGGATAAGGAAAATGTCCTACTATATTAATTGACACTGCTTTTATGAAAATCATGACTTATGGATTCTGGTAGAAAAAAGGACTGAGCAGAAGTGAAAACCGCTAATATTCTCAACTAGATTTCTAAAGGAATTTCTGAAGGTATAAATTTGAATAAATGTTAAAATATTAGAAATGGAAGTGACAATATATTAGAATCAATTAACTCGGAGTGTCTTTTTGAAATACATAAAAATATACATATATTATTAATCATATTTTGATTTTGTTAAGAACTGTGTAAAAATGTTGAAACATTTTAATGTGTATGGATTCTAGTAGAATAAAAAACCTAAGATAAACTTTGTATTTTCTGAATCATATGATATTGAAAGGAAAAACGCATTTAAAAAAATCGTACTCAAAATCATTCAAACGTGTGTAGACTTTTCTGACATTTAATTCTTTAAAACTTCAGAAAAAGAAAATTTTACTGAAGTTTAAAGAATTAAGTAGAATTTTTATTTGCTTTAAAAAGCAAATTACTAACCTGAGAAAGTCAACAAAATAGCATATATCTTCATTATCATTGATGTCGATATTTTCTTCTGCGGCTAGTTTTGCCAAAGTAGCTTCAAACCATTTGTAATCTTGCTGCTGAATGAATCTGAAATTGAGATACAATGAGCTGCAATTTAGATGTCTAGTAATACTTGTATTTTATAAGTAGCTATTACTATGAGCAGTTATAAACTCTGTGAATATCTTACAATATCAAATAAAATAAAACTTCTAAGATTACTTTCTTTTTTTTTTTCATAAAAAAAGACAGTTGTCTATAAAACGAAAACCATCCATCAAATCCCAGTGTCATTTACGGATACCTTTCGTAGTTTTGTGATTGCAACTTGCTTGAACCAAGTCCTTGAGAAAATAGCAAATTTCTTTAACCACATTATGTACTAAGGTATAGACTTGATTGAAAGATTTGATGCTAATTCATGGTTGTATACATATATATTTGAAAAATGACTTGTTTGGCATTTACGTACCTAATCACTTTCTGCCTCGATGCATTTCTTCATACTGTTAGTTTAACACTGCCTTCCCCCCTTTTTCGATGTTTCTTTTTGTAAAGTGGACCGTTGAGCTTGTACAGCGATCCTTATCCTTGCATCAATGATACATTTGATATCTTTTAAATGCAATCTACGGGTAAAATCTGAAATTGCTTTAAAAATATTCGAATTTGTGAAATGCTAAAATTAACCAAATGCGTGTTTTGCACTTTCATTTAACCATATTATTAATTAAAACTCATCATTAAATAAGGATACATAACAGAATAGAATGTCATCGAAGTAGTTCCTTTCCCTGGCATTAAACGTACAAAGATGGTTGCCAATCTGACGGATGTATTCTGCACCTAGTACAAGTTACATTAAAACATTAGACGTGCAGATGGTATGCATATACACATATATAAATATTATATACAAAGTTAGATTGTTTAGATATGAATAAGTTTTTAGGATGTAGTCTAGACATATGCAAAGATAAAGCTGTTTAGTTTTGCATTACAGTATGAGATGCATATTGTAAGAGCAAGAGGAATGAAATGGTTTATAATTGCCTATATTTCTTGACCCATTAGTCTATCTTCTGACATTAAAAATAGAACTGCAATTCTAGGGGTGGAATCGCTTATAGCACAGTAAGTTTATGTACGGTACAGTTTTGTGACAGAGCAAGGATTAGACATTGTGTTTTCAATTACTGCTGCTCAGTTGAAAGCACTGGGTTTTGCAATATGCCCTTGTATTAATACAATTAAACTTCTAGTGTCCATATTCGCACTGATCTGATGTTTTCTTCCCAAAGCGGCCTCTCGTGGATTTTCTGTGTCTGCACATCCAAATGACTTGGGTAGCGTTGAAATCTCGTGTTCGGATGTGATGCTTTCTGGCAGTGAACGAATAAAGGTCCAGTTCAGCTAGTTGAAGTCCTACATCATATTTTGGTGAGAAGTAAACTGATGTGAGTGCAGTAATGTATTTGGTTGCAGAGAGAAGGTTCATGACAGTATGATCCTACAGAAAAGCATATGGATTAATTCTTCATTGAGGGGGGGGAGGGTGTGAGGGTAGCTTATCGCAGTTTTGTTATTCAGAGATGTGAAGGTACTACAGTCGGAGGGTATTTCAGGAGCATGCCTTTTTTTATCTGTACGGCTCTTGCAACAACGCTATTTCCCTATGAAATTAAGTAATAACTTGTATGGTATTTAGTGTAACAGGTTGGTTCGATGCTTATATCTCTAGATTGTCCTTGCGGAACATTGAAAATACACGATCAGCCGGAAGCCCTGCAGAGTAGTTAGGAAGGTGATAAAAGTCCCTTGGACACGCTTTGTGAGGGACTCGTCCTCGAAATTGGGATGGAATTGGAAAAAATCGTACTGTCGCGGTCTCCAATGGCCATGACAACGACTTGTGCCGGGATAAAATTCGTGGACTTGTTTTGATGTTATTGTTAGACAAGTAAGATAAGTCACAATAGCACATTATTTCTATTATTGTTATAAGTATGGGTCTTGAATTATGCACACGAGAAAAATTTTATTTACTTAAGATTTAATTTTAAACTAAAATATGAAATACACGTATGCTTATAAACAACGTAAATTCCACAACCTGTCCGCAATAATTCGACAGCACTCGTGTTTCCACAAAGAAATCAGTGTTTCTTGGTTGCACAGAACGGAGGGTGTAGCTGAGATCATGCCTTGCCAAATACGAGACAGCTCTCTCAAATTGAAAACATAATGGAATTTAGCTGGTGTTGGAAGCATTGTCAGCTGAAAAGAAAAAATGAAGTTATTTATCAGAGAAATTTAAACTTTTGTATATAGTAGAATTCAAATGAAAATGTTCACATCGTTTTGTGATACCAACGACGTAAATCTCGATGCCATCTCTCGTAATACAGATTATTTTCCTTGTGTCAGTATTGGTTCAGTTGTTTAACACATGTGAAAAATTGTGACAACATGAAATAAATGTAATAAAAGTGATGTTTAAAATAAATCAAAATAACTTAGGAAATAAAATGGTCAACTAAGTTGGAAATGGCGCAGAAAATTTTAGAGAAAGACAATAAAGCTTTTATTTTTTGTAGAAAACTCTTTGGACAGAACAAAAGCATAAAATTTTAAAGTGGAATTACTTAATATCAGCATTTCATTTTACACATCTGAAATTCTCAAGAAAAAATTCTTAACATCCTGTCATGAAGCTGAAGCTTACATAACAATCCGAAGCAAATATAAACCATATTAATTTGTTTTAATAGTGTAAAATATAATATACGATTTAACGGCTGTAGGAAAAATTTTGATTATTGTGTTATAGAAAAAGTTCTTTCATTTCATTGCCCCTCTCACTTAGGTATAGAGACACATTAATGCGACTAATCAGATATACCAGGTGTCCCACAATGTTTGAGAAACAACAGGCGATATCAGTGTGATATGTAAACTGCTAATATTTTTTCGAAATGCAATTTTTCTGCAAAGTTGTTCATAAATAATAGTTGGCAGTTATAAATAATACATTCTACTGGACTTCTGGCTCGGAGTGTAATTCGAGTGCTTCCATTCCGCAAAGGCATCATACTTGCAAGCATCCAATACTTAGCTAAATCGCATTGTCACCTGTAAGGTGCTCAATGCTATTGCCAACGACAGACGTATCTTGTGCTCCTTGCCATGAGGAATTTCGTGTGCTTGGGCGGCTGATTATAGGTCAGACAAGTGATCATTAGTCATCAACAACAACAACGACACTCCTGCCTTCTACTTTCCCATAATCGCAGGTGTTTGTGTTGGAAAGATCAAAACGATGAAGATCTACTTTGTACGATCCATGTCCTGTTAGAAATGGCAGTTTTGCTCTGTAGATCCATGCTTTCTTTTGGGATCATTGCATGTGTACATCTACCCATTGTAGCATTATTCCACCGGGCTGAAATGTATATTCGCATTTCTAAAGACATGTAGCATTGCGAACTACTCAATAAATTTATACTCGTCTTGCAATTTGTTAGAAATTGACAGCACTGCGTTAGTGAAGCTCTGAATATGCTTAATTGCGTAGGAATGTTTTTTTTTCAATGGCGGGCTACAGCCGTTTATAGGCGTTGGCCATTACTAAGGCTGGAATAATTGTGTATGAATTATTGCAGGTATTTTTAACTCTCATTTTATTATTTCTTACTTTGACGAACGCATGCTTTTTCTCTCTAAAATATTGTGTGGTTTATGTGATATAGAATGTTTCTAATCATAGAAATATCATTCCATCATCTATGAATTCGGTGGGGAATAAAATGAAGTATGTCGTATTATCCGTTATTTATAATATGTTCAAACATTAAAAATAATTCTGCATTTCCTTCAGTAAAAAAACCAGTTAATGAAAAATAACTCGGAAGAATTCTATATATTTCTTACTTTTGTTAAGTGCCAGACTTTCCTGGTGAGTGGCACGAGTTTCTCAGCTAAGCTGCAAACTTCAGGTATGAAACCTTGCTTTTCAGAAAATGCTCCACTTACGATATTGCCTGTGAAAAAGAATTAATTTTAAGTTTCTCATCTGCGTGGAAGTTTATTATTTGAATGATTGAAGCTGAAATGCTTGTTGTTTCAACAGCAATGAAATATTTGCATAGGAGGAATTTTTAGTATAACTTTATAGATATACAAGGATAATCTAAAACGCTAGCTGCAAGCTCTATTTCCTTAACCTTATTGATCCTATAAATATTTTTCTAACGCAAAATTCCCTATAAATAGTGAAAGGAATTTTACTGAGGTAATTTTGACACGCTGGGAAGATTCTATAAAACAAAATCTAATATCACATGTAAATTTCTGGTACTGAAAGTGGCACTGATTTCGTTGATTTAATGTGTTAAAACTTAAGCGCTTTAAGTGCAAAATTTGTCGAGGTATTCGGATTAGTGTAAATCGAGACTTAATTAAAAAAACAAATTTACGGAACATTCACAAAATTGGGTAATTTTGATTATTAGTATTTTGCGTACTGGAATGAAATAGCATCTGTTACTTAATTTGAGCTAACATTTCCAAACTTTATAAAATTTGCATGCAAAAATGGAAAACATTTTTGGGGGGTAGGGATATTTATCGATTAGCAAATCGCCACTTGGAGTAAAACGTGAAATGGTGCGAAATTTACTATAGATAAGAAAGGCAACTCTGATATACATAGTTTCATGAAAAGAAGGACTATTTTATTAAATTCAAAATAAGCAAAGATAATTTCAGAAATTACCGAATAAGAATGAATATAATTAAACCACTGAACAGTAACTCATTTCTAGTTGTAATAGCTGGGATTCTAGCTCAGCTTTTGACAACATAATGTAGTAAGTTGGAAATGAGCATTTTTTAAACCAATATCCGCTCAATTAACCTTTCTAATCGTGACACGATCTTTTGTTATGACCCCATTTCGGTACTCTGATAGCAGTAAAGTACAATTTTCTTTTGTGGTCTTCCAAACAAAGCCTTTCAGTATGAATGATAGCTTTGTACTGAAGAATTTAATCATGACTCTTATAAATCGTTTAGCAGATTCCGGATCACAAAAGTCGTAGTAATTGTTTTATTTATTATAAGAATTATTTCAGTACTAAAAAAAAGTGAAAATATCCAAGGGGCAGTTACTCGATAGCTGTTTATCCTTCCCATTTATTCGCAATGGCATTGTTGCACAGTTACTCGTAATGCGAAATAATAAACGATGTTATCACATTTGGCACTTTGGCTCACGATTCCGATTGATACCCTTTTCTAACATATTTTGGAGCATAACGAATATTTGAATGGTATATTTATACTAAATTCCACTTTCTTTGCAGCGTGCTCTTATGGTGAGCATGTTCAATCTTTTCAGATGATCCGGAGTTGGAATCCTGACCAGGACATGGGAGATTTTTCTCACATTTCTAGATCCTAGAAAAAGTTCTTTTTTTTTCTTTTTAAAGTGGCAGTCAACTAAAATGTGATGAACGTTAACTCATCATCGTCTGAGTTTGGCCTACTGGGGCCTGATCTTCTCTCCTCAGTCCCTTAAGCGGCGGGAAAATATAAGGAAGTTTCCCTTTTCCCACTGCGTGCTGTCATGGTGTAAACAATAATACATCCGCCTGGCCATATGAAGATCTGGCGAAGTTCATATGGCCAGGCGGTTGTAAATGCAATCTATCTATAATGACGGAAGTAAAGCTTCCAGCTACCGTTTATAATTACCCTGTGCATTGTGGGAAAATCTGTACACACAGTGATCGAATAGAATTGCAATAAAAGGAGCAACAGGGTAAGATATTGGAACTCTTTATATCAATAATGTTAAAAGGGAAATTTTCAATGTACTTTTGTTCAGAATACGTTATGAATAGACATATGAATTGTTTTTGAAAAACAAATATTTTATATTGCGCTAAAATGATGCTATTATAAAATTCTAACATTTTTTTTTCATGTGTGTGTATGCGAAATGTATAGTTACAATTCAAACATCTTTGATAATAAAAAATTGTAGAAAAAATTATATTTTTAGCAAAGAAACGTATTTTAGTATATACATACAAGAAATACGTCATGGAAATTGTTACAGAGCTGGAACGAAGATTTCCGAGAAAAGTACACATAATCTGTAAATAATCACATTCAGAAAAGCTCATTTTTATCATTTTATATTTTATTTTTTAAAATGTACATAAACTCATATTTCATGAACCGTCATTACATTTTTTTTTAAACAGTAATATTGTACCGCCAACCGATCAAGATAATGGAAAAATTAAGTTAATATCTGCATTTGGCGAAGAAATAGAAGCGAAATTAATAAAATTATTTATGGCACTGAAAGATGAGGATTCTGATTTATTAAACTACCCGGTAGACATTTTGGCGACAGTAACAGATCGCTTGAAACGTAGATTGTTTATTACCCATGCAAACCTTGTAACCCTTGCGCGACGGATGCGGTTTGAAGGGGGAAACAAATTTAATGCGGAAAACGAATGTGGAAAGCGAATCGAATAAATGCTTAGACTACGTGAATTCAAATAAGCCTGAAATAAACATTCCTCAGCCATATGAAGAAATTAAAATAGAAAATAGGGATAGTTCATATACCAATACGCATTGAGTAACGACTCCAATACCTATATTAGAAAATAATCAACGTAATGATGTATTGAAATTACGAGAGGAGCAGATGTCTTGCCCGAGTTTGGAAGAAGTCAGAATTAATTTAAAACAGGGGAAAGGAAATTTTATGGAACTTGATAATATAATTTTTCACAATGATATAAAGTAATGGGAGATTCAGTTCAGCAGTTAATTCTTCCAGAGAGTCGAAGAAAAGATTTTTTAAAATTAGCACAAGAATCTGTTTTCGGGGCTCATATGGAAATAAAGAAAACAATAGAGAGAATCAGATATAATTTCTACTGGTTCAATATGACTAATGATATTACTGAATACTGCCTGTCTTGAGAATCATGTCAGTTAAGAAATACCGAAAAAAATAACTGATATAATTCCTATTGTAAGGATCTTAAGTTTTACTAACGTTTATTTTATTTTAAATCTTTACTATCACTTCTTATTTTCTACTTCCGGCCAGAATTATAAGCGTTAAGGATTTTATGCAAAGTCTGTCTGGCGAACGCCAAGTACTTAAGTTGTGGCTTTTTGCCAAGCAAGAGAGAGAGGAAGCAGTAAGTCAACGCAGGCCGCTTACTTTAGAAGTTACGCAGTTGCTGTTCGCCTTCCAGGCCAGAGGTTTTAATCCTCTTGATAAATTAAACGTATTGTAGTGTTCACAGTCTCTGTGCTACATACGCTTCCTGTTATTATAAGGCCAATCTTCCACGTGTATTATTCTAAAGTTAAATTAGAGTTTAGTTTTGTTTTTATACTTTTTTACGTTAGACCCCGAGTGGAGGGTCATTGTATTCCGAAGTACGGAAGTTCATTGTATATAGAGAAAAAATAAAGGGTTTTGTATACCCTTCGTCTGTATCCTGTCTACTTACTACAATTAGTGAAACATAGCTTTAGTAAGCTCTCTGTTCCTAGTCAGGTCTTTGTATGTTCCCGAAGAAGGTTAGAAGGAACATTGAACCTGATAGTGGCGCCCAACGAAGAAGAATAACCATGGCCGAGTTTCAAGAAGAACCTGTGCTGCCTGCAGGAACGGCTCAGAATCCAGAAATGCCAGCTGCCGCCCTGGAAGGATTCGGGTACATCGTCCAGACCATGCGCGCTTCGATGAAACCAGAAGCAACGTTTAATGGAAACTCACCGGTAACCAGTTTTTTGGAAAAATTGGATGACCACTTCATGCTCTACCCCGTGCACGAGTTTCAAAAAGTTACCTTAGCTACCAGCGCTTTGAGGGGCCAAGCGTTTAACTGGTTCAAATGTATCGGCAGAAGTCTCTTGGGTCAAGCAGGAAGTCCCACCTATACTTACGAAAATTTCAAGACTGCCCTACTAAAAGCCTTCCCTGTTGTAAGGGATCGTGCGAAATTAGAAACGGAACTTTTTAGTATATATCAACAAAGAATCGAAAACCTCTCGAGCTTTATTTAAGAAAAATTCACGTTTTCAAGCTCTTGTATGGAAACCGTCCGGATCCTGAAATAATTCAAGTGATTTTGCCGAGGTTACTACCCCAAGTGCAAGACTTTATTGAATTAAGAAATCCGACTACACTGGAAACGTTATTTGAGCTAGCAATCCAGTTTGAAAGTAGAACGGCGGACGTCGAAAGAAGACGCCAATATCAACAGCGAAACCAATTTGGTACGCCAAGACTACAGCAAACTCAAGCATACGGCTACGGAGAAAAAGCGAATCAGTGGGCAAGGAAACCCGAGCATTCAAAAAACAGCCGGCGAACGTCGACAGTTCAATAGCAACCCAGGAAAAAAAAGTCTCAAGGCCAGGGGAAAAAAAACGAAAGCACGGAAAGGAAAAATAATTTAAACTAAAAACGGATTTCTGCTGACGAGAGGGTGCGGAAATCCGAAGGCCACGAAAACCCCTTTTCCTACAAGTTAAATACAGTAATGGTGAAAAATTTGACTCTTCCGAAGATTGAAGTCTTGGTGAATAATATCCCGGCCACCGCACTCCTGGATACCGGAGCGCAGTGTTCCTGTGTGGCAGAAGTCTTTTTTTAGAAAGTATTTTCGCAAATACCGCATATATATAATGCGGATAATACGACAGTATTAGCGGCGCAAGGAGAACAATGTAAGTGCGTAGGTAAAGTACATTTGTATATCCGTATCAAGGACGAACAAGTAAAGGTGATGTTTTTTATAGTAAAGAATTTGCAAGTACATTTAATCTTAGGAATAGACTTTCTTTCAGACGCACAAGCTACACTGGATTTTAATGAAGCGTCCTTTAAGCTGACAATGAAACCAGTGCGTGTAGAAAAGGTTGAACCGCCAAGGTTAAATCTTGACCACCTGCCTAATGACGAGCAAGATAGAATCCGACAAGTGGTAAGTGA